CAGTCCCATTTAATTATGCAGTGTGGAAAAAATTACATCTCTTAAAGTAGAATAATAAAAAAGGATGGAATTTAATAAAAAAAAGTTAAATCAATTTAGATGGAATTAAAAAAAAAACTCTTTATATTTAACTAATTTCTTAATCATAATTAACCAATTCTGAATAGACGTTAAAACAGATTATTATCAAACTATTCAATTACTTGGAAGGAATAAATATAATATTTATCTAACGATGTCTATTTGTTACTGACGCAATGCCTGGTTACGAACTTCTCGAGAAATTGTGTAAATTTTTGTCGCCAATTAGCTATTAGTATGAAGATAATTAGATACAACAGGACTGTAGTGGAGGAATAATACGAATTGTGCCACAATCCTTCGTCTTTCGACTCCAAGTGAAGCAAAAGCTTTATCTCTCTGCGTTTGTTTTATCACAATATTGTTATATACAATAAAATAAAAATACTTGTCATAAACTATTCTGAGAAATTGTTGACTTAGTGCCCGTAGTAAGATGGTTTCTTCAGCGATAAGAACGTACGCGCAATGCCCTTGGAATTACAGACATTTCGTAGGCAACAGTAACCTTTCACCATTAAGGGAAAATTTACCTCGATGGAATAAAAAAAATAATGTTGATGAACGATAAATTGTTAGTCGATAAAATTCTGAGTGTTGGTTTTGAGTGTACCTAAGTTAGATTCTATAATCACAGTTCATAGAGAGCAAACTAACAATAGCCTGATATTGGTACAGAACGCAATGCACGTTGTTTTTAATGACCACGTGTTTGCTTCACGTGGAGTAGTCGATAAGCTACTGCACGTTTGTCCTGTCGACGTAATGGTTAACTTGAAACATATTGCATGTTTAAATGCTCTTTTAAAGATATTCCCTAGTAGTTTTTCAATTTTGTATCAATTTTCTTTGTCATTCATCGCTCTATCGTCAATAGAAAATTTCTTATCGAATTCTTAATCCAAAAATTACGCATCTCTATTTACAGTACCAAATATCGTATAACAGCCTGATATTCTTGCTATTGACGGTAGTTTAAAAGATAAAAATCTGATACTATCTAATCTACATAACTGCCAAAATTCGTTCTTTATGATCGAAAAAGTCACGTTTTTCTTGCATTTTCCTCTTGTTCACTCTACGCACATTATAAATTTCCACAAATCACGTAATCAATTCATTAAAATTTTATATGAATATATCAACATGAAATCAATGATATCGTGTGACTATAGAAACAACTTTCTCAAGGGAAATAAGTTCCATCACCAGTTCCTCGTAAGTAATTTCGCATCGATAAAGTCCCGCAATTTTCCCTGGCTGACATTTAGACATCTTGAATAGATTCGAACGTTTGTTGTTATTTGAAAAGGCTTTTCCTCGAATTTACAACATAACAATTTTTGGTATTCACATCAAATAAAAAAATACAAAACGCCTAACACTTGGGATTGTCTTTATAGTTCAATCAAGTATTTTTATTTATCCTGATGGTAAACCAACTCGTGTTTGTAGAATAAAAGCGAGTACAGATGTACCCACTTGGTATTATTTGTAGAACAACAAGCTTTACCCTCGTAAATCCTAATGACCTAGAAAATTCCAACCTCATGTGGGTGTTTCTAAATTTATCCAAACTAGACGTAGTAAGTTGAATTTGGCGTGTAATGGCAATCTTCGAGCGGAAAAAGCTGCCATCGTGTGATGGGGGTTGTTGTGGGCAGTAAAGATACGCGTGTCCATCACATTTGATATACTTACCAAAGTACATACTTATAAACAAAATGCCTCGTGTATAAAACGTAATATTGTTCTTAATATATTTATATTGAGTGAAATTGACTTTAAAAAAAAAACAGACTTCAGTTGTGGCAAAACCAGTTTTTGGTTAGTTGATTAGGGTTATTTTGTTTAATTCCTATTGTATAATTATTTTATAATTTTGTATTTTAAACTTGTAATCAACTAATCAGTGATATGGACTTCCGCAAAATTACAGCTGTTTCAGTAAAATAAAATAATTTTCATTTAAGAACTAAATTATTGAACCTATTTTTATAAAATTTCAATAGGATAAATCTGTAAGTCAATTGTGACCAAATCAGCTAAATTAATTAAAAACTAATTTATTAAATCGATTTTGATAAGTCCATTGAAAATGACAAAATTTTGAGTGTCACATACGATATTAACAGTTGGGTAGTACCCACTACTTGGGTAGTACAGAGTCTGTATTAGTATGGGAAGCTTAATAGGGAAAGTTACGAGTATTATTACCGTTTCAAAATGTCTCCTTTCAGTTTGGAACATAAAGTTTTGTCTCATTCATGCATCAACTATAAATCTTGAAAGGAACGCATTTTAGACATCAGAGTAATAAAATTTGCCCTCTAACATACATATCTACTTTCTTTTATATAACAGTCGTCTGTCGTTAACATTTTGCGTCCGCGTGGGAGTCTCTGCGCTCAGATTCTTTCTCGTTTACGGCTATTATTAGAATGTGACCGAAGGGGCGTCGGGTTTTAATCGAATATTCTCGGTCACCACACGTACTTTCTTTAATTTGGAATACCAAATGCTACAGAAAATACTGTCTTCCAATAATCTGGTTGCTGTTAACCTTTTTGTTTAATCACCTCAATCTTTCAAATTACCGTGTAGACATGGACGTTAGCAGAATTATCGTTGACGAAAGAAAAGTTGCTGGTGCGTGAACCGGTATAATGCTTTTGAGTTTGTTAGATGCAATGTTTATTAACCCATTAGAAGTCAAATAAAAAGTACTGTTTCTTTTTTTAAATTTTCTTTATTATTCATACTAAAATAAGAGCATCAAAACACAAAATACGAAAAAAAATTCAAATATAGTAATTTTCGCGAAATTATGGGGGTGTACTCAATTGAGTACACTGACCACCTCTATGTATGAAATATTTCCAAACACGCTTTTTCGACACAAAGTGTTTTTAGGCACTTTTTACACTGCCAACGCACTCTTGAATGACAAAGAACACACCGCAGCTGTTTTTAATTTTAGTAGGATAGTGTCCAACTTCATCTTGGGAAAGACCACAGACTATTGATGCAGCCTGACGCGATCTCTTTGATCACCTTGGCGTAAATAATATCGTGCGATGTGACGACGAAACATGAGTTGATCATCGTTACTCATCACATGTAATCGCCAGGCATTAGCATTAGCTACGTCTAACATGTAAGTGAACAACACCCACCACCACTTTTTAGACACAGCAATTCTATATAATAAAACAGACTGGTCCAGCTCATCCACACCTCCCATATTTTTGTTCTACGTTTGGAATAAACGTGCCATGTCCATCTTTTCCTTCTTTATTCGACACCATCACTTGACTGTTTCTAGCGATTCAATGGTATCCTAGTTACTATGATACATACACTGTTATCTTTCCACCTTACTAATAAAAGTTCACCTGTTTTGTCAAACCTGTAGTCATAAGTGGCACGTTCTTTCTTTTTCATATCCTTTGTGCTAAGCCTAAGAACTTTTTCTAAATCAGAGGAATCCAGTCGAAATTCATGTCTATTATGTTGATGAGTGTATAATTGGCTGTGTTTTCTATAATCATATCAATTATATCATTATCAATATTTTTTTCCAATATTTGTACAGAATTGAGGCCTTTCAGCTGTTCATAAATAGTACTCTTCCTGTCATGGACTTCAATAATAATATAATAGTTTCTTGGCCGGCAAAGAGTATGTAGGGGAACACTTTCGCTAGATCGGGTTCGAATTCGAAGTGCCAATCCACTTCAAATTCGAGCCCGATCCGAGTAGAATCTAATCGTATTCTTTTTGACACCAGCGGTTTTTCATCACTATTGTCGTACGAGCTGTCTTACGTATTCCTATCCTTTCGGTATGTGAATATCTCCATAGTACCAAGTACGTCTTGCGGTATGGGACATGTCGCCATATCCTCATCAGTGCCTTTCTCCTCATCTGTCATCAGGTGGGATGATCGCCAAGTCATATTCACCCTTATCGTTTTCTTCTAAAACAGCTTCAATCGCTGCTTCAAGCCTCTTGTAGCTCGTTCGAGTTATAAAATGCTTTTTTTTATTGTTAGGAACCTGAAAAAAAATGGTTATTTTACTTACTTATGTTGTCACTGTACTCAACCGAGTACACCAACATTTACATGGCTCTTGTTTTATTTTAGTTACAAGTAATGATTGCATTATTGTTTATAAGTAATCCTGATACGTATTTTATACTAATGAAATGAAAAAAATCTACTTATAAACGGTAATTATTAGAAAATAATTAAAATAATGAACTTACCTCCACAGTGTCTCGATGATACAACTTCAACTTACACTTTTTATCATAAAAAATCACACTACCCTCGTAATATTCGTCAATACACTTGAACAGTTGATTGATATAGTAAAATAATAAGGTAGGCTACGATAACTTTACGCGATCTGTAACTGGCACTTAAATATATGCCTGTACTCAATCGAGTACAGTGACTTCTAATGGGTTAAAGAGTACTTAAGTAGTAGAGTAGCAGATTAGATTTTTTTTTAAATATATTTGGTAACATCTAAACCCAAATTAGCATTTCTTTTATCTTTTAAATAATCATTCCGATACCCTTTATTGTTGTCCGTTTTATTATCATTCAGATATTTTTATCCGTAAAGTTTGATAGGTAATGTAGATGTTACCAGGTAGATACGAACTCTCTAAAAGTTGGATAAAAAATGGCCTTGGTAGTTTCGTATTGTGTCGATAGTAGTTGCGGAAAGTTTGAATTGGTGCGAATACCACAGGCGATACGGTACAAATAATATGGTCGGTGTTGAGTGTGCGGGCGATATACGGCGTATGTCTGGCGGGTGACGCCAACGCCCCCGCCGGCGGCGCGGCGTGACGTCGCTAGTAGCCAGCGCGGGTGCTGGTGCGGGCGCGAGCTAGACGCAAGGCATCACGCCAGTCTCTGCACGACCGCGGCACGGACAGTGTCGACCCGTTGAGATGTGAACGTATAACCTTCAACTCTGTCTACGACGACAGCTTCAGTTGCGTGTGCACGATAGTTTCTGTTACTTTCTACACACCTACCGGTTTATTAACTTTGTTTTGTGTTTCTACAATTATTGTCGCGTACGCTACACCGGATACATGTAAGTTGCTTTTCGAATATCGTGAGCCCGTGACGAGATCAGAACTCCTTTAGTGTAGATCTGTTGTGTATATCCGACGTTTGACCTTCGTTATTTGGATATGGTCAATATAGGTGTCCAGGTAATTTGTTGTTGGCTATGTAATCTTTACAGTTTTACTGTTATATTTTTAAGTTCATATGTTTATATGTTGTGTTTCTGTAAGTTTTTCACTTCGCGAACAATATTCAACAGGTGTCCTTTTCAGTCGTGCGTTCCATGTTTGACTTAGTATTATCATTTACACTTGTGTAAGTTAGTGCCTCCTATATTAAACTTTGACGTAACCGGATGACGTAAAAGGAAAATGTATAACTTTCATTAAAGTAGACCAAGAGACAAGAGTAAATATTATGTGACTCCAGACTACCCATCAAACGATTTGTTTTGGCGAATGTGTAGGTGGCACATTTAGTTTAATTAATTCGTTTGCCCTTAATTATTGTGGCAATTACTAGGCAATTTACTTGTAGACTTATGGGAGTGGCCCTGGCGCTTTGTTGGCATGGGCACAAAGCTTTCACATATCATACAAATATTATTTTAATAACATCATGCACACTTATTGTTTGCAGATTTATTTATATTTTAACTACAGCTGAGAAATCAACACAGGCTGTTTTAATGGCATTGTTTATAATACAGGAATTACCAAATTTGGTATTACCATGTTTAATAGAAATGTTGCTGTTACTGTCATCACTACTACTACCTCCATTACTACTATTGATTACATTTAGCAAATAGTAAACATATTAAGTTTGATATCCCTGTTTAATGGATGTGGATAGATTTCTGTTCAAGAAACAAATGATAAATCTTTTATATTAGTAATGTGTATTCACGGTCATATATATAATTGCTTCCTAAAAATCGTATTTGTTTCTATTCTTGATGCCATTCTTTGTTTGTATGTACAGGCATAGATTTTATTTGGTAATGTTTACACGTTAATTATTTTAATGTTTTTTGCCTTGAATATGAAAAAAGGTGTTGGTACTTTGATTATATTGTTTGTTATTCCAGTGTGTGTTTTTTTTAATTTGTTAATGTTTTAGTTTTGATAATCAAGTCAAATTTATTATAATTTATACAATAATTCATCATCAATTATAGAGCTATCTTTCCTTATACCTGTTAAGAGTACAAGAATTCTTGGCCACACAAAAGTCTCACTATTGTAATGGTCGGTCTAACCGGTTGTAGTAGTGACAATGAGTAGGTTTAAATGTATCGGTTATCCATACAATTCAATATTGCACCACTGCTACTTAATGACAGTTAGTGTGGTGGTACAAAATCAAATCGACGAATCGATGTAATTACGTTCTGTAAAAACTAAGAAACAACGAATTAGGTCATGAGGAAATTAGTTTGGAACCAAGACGGGAGTAAACCCTCGTGATTGCGAAAATAATTATCAAAATCGTTTGAAAATCTCACACACAACATTGCATGTGAATTGGGAATCTCTTGCTTTTAGAAGACTCTTTAGAAAAAGCTCATAAGAAAAAGTTGATAGATTGTAATAATCATATCTGTGTGTGCATATTCTATTATCCAATCCAATTTTTATTATGATGTCGTGTTAAGTCTATAAAGATGTTACCACTTGATAATTGCTAAGGATCATGAAAATTTATTTAGCACTATTTAAATCAAACCAACTAATATAGCTTTTTGTAATACACATGTCCGTGTAATATAAACGTGAAATGTTAAAGATACACAATTATGCAATACTTCGTGACATTTTAATATAAATATAATTAGTTGCGAGTTTTGCAGTTTAGCTTTCAGTTTGTATTTACCTGTAGTAGCTATAACATCGTCTAATGCTAAACGTACGTGACTTTACAAGTCAACATGTTCATATTACCGTCACTCGGCGATAATCCCTAGATAAAGTGGAGTGGATAGAATTGCATTATGTTTCGCTAATATATGATTACAATGATGTCCTTGATTGAAATTGCTATATATGCTATGTAGTATTACTAATCGTGAAGCTAAAATAATTAGCTCATAGCTGAAAAAAAAAACAAAACTACAATTTTTGGAAACGGATTCAACAAGGAGATAAACATAAATTTAAAAAACTCAAAATTGTTATCATGCAATAATAATCTATAAATAAAAAAATGCCGTGTAATTAAAGTGTATTAGAAATAATAATAATTCTTTTTTATATAATATATTTTAAGGTAAGCATGATTCATTTGATAAATTTCAAGTTATAAATCTTATCAGACGTTCGCAATTCTGACAGACAGGAATTTAGAAGCAGCCCTAGCACTTGACGATTGTTCAAAGATTAGAATTTAATATTATTGTGTATATCCAAATAACCAATAAAATGGTTATTTGGATATACATTTTTAATATTCTTCAAATGTAAAACTGGAATTAATATTTATATATCATACTATTATTATAAAAAATATAGCTCCTTAACCAATCACTAGGAATGGTATACTCGTTCTATATGAAATGGTGAAAGATGTAGATTACTTTTTATCCCGGTCAGTAAACATATCCCGATCAAACAACGAAGTACCACTCGACCTCAGTGGCTATTTGAGTACAAATAATAACAATTGTGGGTATAGAATCATTATTGTTTTACCTACTATTTGAATCTTTATTTGAATTGTTCTTTTTACAAATGTGGACTCCCTGCCTATCTTATCTTACCGGACTTCAGATGTTCTGTCTTTCATGGTGATTTTCGACGTCAGTGCTGAAGGCAAACACTTTTACACTAAGGAGAATATTGACCTGGCCATTAACACTTTTAAAAGTTTTTTAAATTCAATGAAGATTATTTGTTCGATTATTTGAATTTGTAGACTATTTGAAATTGTAAAGGCTTTGTATGTTTCTTAAAAGTAAATTATCCAATGTTTCATTGTGTGAACAACTGAAGAATGCAAATTTCCTACCATTACGGGCGATAAAATAGCAGGCTGGAAGTGTCTACGTTTATATGTACTTGTATATGCATTAGCATTAGTGCTACTATTATTGTGGCTTGACGACCTCGTCTGTAGTCATCCACCATGCATGACAGAAAACTACTTATATCACGGTATGTGCCGCATATATTCATTAGCATTCAATACAATTCATATATATAACGCGTCCATAAATGTTTTGAATTGTAATTGACTTTTAATCGTGTCTATGTTATTTTGTGTTCTAAATAACCAGCTGTTTTAAACTTATGATGTATGCGTATTAGTCAGAATATTATTAACTGTATTTGTTTGCCACGTGTCGAGTATGTGATGTACAATTTGAAGCACAAATTGTCTATTGAATTCCAACTAGGCTATAATGTATACCGCTGCCAAAGCTATTGTTAGAGCGATAACATCCGCATATCCCCGTGCCCTTGCGCTGCCATTGTAGTGCTCTCTGGAATATACTTTACTACAAAGACCATTTTTATATTCCAACATTACGTTAATTGATATTCAATGTCGAGACATTCCCCTGGGTCCAGACATTATAAATGTTAGTTTAAAATATCTGCATTGTTGCACACGTGTGTGAGGGTAGTCTAGAGTTTATCGACCGTCGCGTCTAGTCTGGATTCGGGTAAACTATCTTTTGCTAACAATACGAGACATCGTTTTTCCAAGACTGCTCGAGACGGCCAATTTATCATTTACCTTTTTATTTCTTCCTTGTTCATGTTTAAGTTTGCAAAATGCATTTTTCTTTTTATTTATTTGTTAGTGGGTATCCACATAATTGTCATTTTTTATTTCCAAATATTTTGTTATTCTATTTTTAGATTAATTATTATTACCATTTGTTATTACAAACTTAATCCAGTATTTTTTTTTTGTTTGATTTTAAGTGGTACTCTCTCCAACAAATTGGTGTCAATGAAAATCATTAAATAAATACTTTCTTTCAATTTCTTTCTTGCACAGGATATTTTCGATTAATATTAAATTGATATTTGTAAACTTACAAATAATATTAAAGAAGAAATGAACTATTTTAGAGTTAAGCTCGCCTTTATACATTTACTTACATACCTCTGTCATATTTTTATGTGCTATCAGGTGTATACAATAAAGTATAAATAATAATGTTACAAATCATTATCGTATGTATAAAACAACATCATCTATCTAAGTGCATAACTATCTATTTTTAAGTGCGTTTTGTTTACTGCTTGAAATCTTTTGTATTCACTTCAATTGATATGTCAATATTTGTAGTGATTGATAATTTGAACAATAGTGATTGTTCTAAGAAACTAAGGAGCAAAATTATTTTCTTTATTATGAGTAATTATTTATTAACCAATATCGAGTGTTTTGTAATTATCAAAACTTTGACTAATTGTCCTAAGAGGTTGAACGAAACGCCTGGCAATAATAAAAAACCATTTGATCAATTATGATTATGTCGTATTGGATGCACTCGTTGTTTTTGGCAGCAATACTAAATTGTCCATTTAATGGCTATGTACCTACTGATTGCTAAATATTACGTACTAATAGTGATGTATATAGAGAATAATTGAATTTTTATTAAGTTTAAATGTCTAATTATAACATTAATTTAACAAGTATATTAAATTGGGAGGACACGACGCAAAGACATAAAGGCATTCTGCAAAGTAAGTTCCACCGGTTAGACTGAATCTGCTTTATGCACATCCTACAACTGTGGTCTTCTTGACCTTGCCCAACACATTAAGATTTATGTTTGTTTACAAACTATTAACACAAGTTTGTTGACTTTAAAATAGACGTTACAGTCCATTTAGCATATTACGTATTGGCATCGTATTTGTACTTGTACTTTTATTACATGAATATAATACTTGCCTATTATTTCTGAATCTATTTCTGAGAAGCAGTCATATGTATTTTTGTCTCTGCAGTTCAGTCTAGCATAAATTGAAGAATAAATTGAATAGCCAATTATGTCGCACTCGTCGCCATTACTTAATTGTTGCGAATACAGTTTTTGCAATGATATTAAACTCACATCGCACAATCGTGTGGTATTTATTTTCGTTCAAGGAAAATATAAATGACCGAGTCTATATTTCCCTAATTTCAATGATCCATTTTCCTTTTGGCCACATCCCAAATGCTACATCTTTGGATCAAAATTTGATAATATAAATGTATGTATTGAAGTAAACGTTTTAATAGAATTTGAGCAAATTTTCACAAGAAAGAACAACATTGAAATTTGAAACGAAACCATTATCGAAGCGAATGGATAATTTTTTTTACTAAAGTTAACTCGATACAGCTATGACCACAAATGAGTAATGTGTAATGCAGTAAAAAGCATAATGTGTAAACTATAAATGATGTAATGCAGTTAGTTACGTACCATTCCTTATGGATAGCAGTCTATAAGGAGAGTTGACAATTAATAGCTGGAATGTTGATGAAAGTGTATAAAGATTATTTGCGGACAGAAAAGGGACAAGTGATCTAGCGGTTTCAAATGTAAACATGTCGTCGTATTCATCCCACGCTACCATTTTTCTTGCCAAAATCTGTTGCGTCGTCTTGAACTAGCGACAATGAGTCGCATTCATGATGTTTTCGTCATAAGTCGTGTCCGTGTATAAATATTATTTTTCGTATCTTTAAATCAACATCAACAAACCCCCTCTCAATCGCTTAGTAAATTTATTAAATACAATCATGCTCGTGTTCTGGAAACCGAATGATCTTTTCACATTTCTGGTCATAACGTTATATACTGTTGTTCCACAATTGCTGCATAAGTGTTCAGATCCTCAATTGTTTAGGAATGTGTTAATTAGTGCGTAAAATACAGACATGTAAGTGATTTGTAACTGAACTATTTATATTTTAAGAAATACGACGTCAATACATGTAAAGGCTATTTTTTTATACCACTGAGGTGGCAAAAAGAAGTCGACGGTAACCGCTTACCACTTATCTGATGGTAATCGGTTACCGTAGCGTATGGACGCTCCAATACCATGATGATGCTATCGAGATCATCATATCAGCCTTTAACTGTCTATTGCTGAATATTAGCCTCCCCCTTGAAGGATTCTGCCATGCTTGGCAGACGTTTTGGTAACCGCAGTTAGGCTTTGGAGATGTTTTAAGAGGGACGCTGGACACCCACGGGAGATGTTTTAAGACCACACGGCTGGCGTCACAGCTATCGAGATAATGGTGATATAATCCAGCATACATAGCCACATGTCGTATTCTCTATAACTGCACCTTATTTCAATTTATTTATAATATCCGTTTTCAATTACCTTCTAAGTCTTGTTTGGAATTATTACAACTATTTTTATGGGATGAAAATGGAATGGTAGCCCCGCTTATGATATTGGTATATGCTGGTCGAGAACCAGTGAGTGAGGACAAGGATCGAGTCTGGTCGAGTTCAAACCATCTTATTTTAGGATTAGCACTAGTAGTAAATTACTTAATATTTTGTATTAATTTTGTGTCAGTTTTAAAAAAACAAACTTGATATTTGTTTACGTCTTTGGCTCATCTTACGTACTGAAATGTTTTGTTGGTTTAGTTCTCTTATTTTTAAATGAAGTATGCTTCCTAATTCAGATCTGCAAGCTATCTTGAGATAAAAAATGCCGAGATGCTTCACAAATGTTTCTGGATTTAAATTATCCAAATATAATACTTTTTTATTTTTCTTGCACGTGTAACAACTCTTGCTGTTTTTAAATGTTGTCGAGTTGTCGACTGTCGTAAAGCAGAAGGAATTCTATGTACTGCCTAGAGCAAGCTCGGCTCAATATTTTCCTAGTATCTTATTTTAATGTGCTTTTTCTATTTGTTGCAGCTGGAGATCTCTTCTGTAGCGACATTGATGGAGTTCCGCTTGGACAGCGCGGAGTACTGCCAGGCTCAACACAAATAAACTAGAAGGCGTTACGCGCGAGAGGGGGCAAGAGCGTGCCACCGCTGGACCCATGCTGCCGGGATCGCACACTGATACTACGCACCCCGCGCATTGTTTGACTTACACCCATCCACAGGTGAATATAAAGACACTACACACACCCCGGGACACATTAATATTTTCCTTTTTATTCAATAATTTAAAGGTAAGCTTTCATTAAGTTATTGAACACATCGGATGAAAAATGGTACCCATCGTCTATGAACATGAAAATACTTATAGACATATAGGATATACTGTAATTTCCATGATACTCCTATTAATTGCCACGTGTAAGATGGTGGTACGATGCTCAATTACGTCTGGTCTCTGTAAATTTACAGTTATAATATTTTGTGGAAACAAGTCTTTAGACGCTCTTGGACTATACTGATCCGACAGTTTATCTATATTCTGAATTAAATGAGTCACAGTAGGAATATGTTGCTGCGCTATTGTCTCTATATATAAATTCATCGATTGAAATAGTTATCAATCTGCGTCAAACTATCGGTCTTTATCTGTTCCTGACTAATACAAAAGCGTGATATTAAATGATACCAATGGGTTACATCATGCACTTGGTATACTGGTAATAATTTGATTTCTTCAAGAAAGTATATATTAATATTAAATTATAAATACTCCAGTAAATAATGATGTCGCAGTGTTTACTAGTCGTGTTATCAGTTGGCCAACAAAGTGCATATCAACACGGAGGCGCTAATAAACGCTACGATGCTAGATTGGCTCCGGACCAGCAGTTGGGGAATCGCACGACCAGTACAAGCGCACCGCCCGCCCCCAAACACACACATACACATCATCAAAACATCACTTTGAAATCTCCACTCTATATTTAGCACCTATTTTTTTTATTCCACTTCATTCGCTGCTCTGACTTTGACGCAAAATGCGTCTTTTAAAATGATAAAATTAATATATATCGACGTACCCGCGACACGTTTACCCGTATTTAATACGTTCCACGTTTTGTTTCAGCTACCTTAAATTTGGAAACCGCTGTTAATTGGAGCATATCATTCAACCGAAGTACGAGTGAAACCTACAAACTTATGTTAAAAGCATAATTTCATTTGATTTCATTCCCAATTCAGTACTTTTGTTTGGTTGTCGTCGAATGTGCTCAAGTGGTTGAAGCCGTTATCAATGCGGGTAGTTCCCACTATATAATTGGACCCTTTCTAAACCAAACTAAGGAAACTGCCGTGTGTTGTGTGGAAATAGAGTGACAGTTTGCCTGTTAAGACTTTGACGGACCGTGACACCTTTTCTCTGACGCGTGTGAAGTGAGTTTGTAACACCTTGTACTAAAACGTCTTCGAGACGCCGCCAATAGTCGATACTTGGAGGGAAGAGTACGAGTTCATCATGAAGCAAAAAGATATCAGACCAGCGCCCTCGCTCATCGAGTACAAGAACATGCGCTTCCTGATCACCGATCGCCCTACGGATATCAGCGTTCAGGCTTATCTCCAGGTACGAAGAATATTTATTCTTCAATGATTATTGAGCGTCTAAAATGTTAACAAATACTGTGTTCGTCTGATTTTAGTTCACTAGGTTCTTTAACGTAGATGAGGGATAAATGAGCTTGTGATTTATGGTAAATAATCACCGCGTTCCATGTACTTTATGCTAATGTACATTACCGCCTTTTTAAAAAGACATGGGCTCTCTTTTTCAATGTATTATCTTATAATACCTCCAACTATTGAAGGTTGACTAGCAATTCGCGGAATCTCTAGCGAGATGGAATAATTCGGCTGCATTTGCGATACCCATCTACTCCCAGATATTGCGAAGTCAAAACTATTTTGCGACCGATTCTTCTCTTGTCAGTAATTTTGCCCATCATAATCGTGGATAGAAGGTGATATCTATCGTGTCTAAGTACATGCCCAAGAAAGGAAGTTTTCTGCTTTTTTTATGATGGGGTAATAACTTGCACTTTTATTTGAAAGTATGCGGACCTTTGATAAAAGAGTGCTCATATCTTTTCGGCTTCCATCTCGAACTTATTCGAGAATTCTACTGCGGAATAGATAAGATTGGCTCTTATAAGTTAAAAGTAATTGGAAAATTGCTAATAAAAGTAATTGGAAAATTGCTAATTCCTAATTTTTCCCTTAATCACTTATCTAGCGTAACTGTAATATTAGTATTTTTTACCGGCTATATTTAATCGTTGAAGTGTATTTTAGTGGTTAGTTAATTACGAGCTTAATTAATTATATCCCGAATCCCCAGTGAGTACAACATTCTGTTTTGACAGGATACTTTAAATGTTGGAAAATACATTTTTTCTTAAAGATATGTACTATATGTATGTAATGTATGTATTAAAGACATATCATGATATAAGTTAAAAACAGTTTATTTTTATACCTATTTATATTTTTATAAGTCAGGATACGTACTGTAGATATACAAAAACAAATTATTCTCAGGTAGGCTGGTTTAGTTTAACTCAAAATCTTTTAGCAATCATTTTTTGTATTAAAAGATGCACAGGGAAGAAAATACTGATAGGTATGAACGTGGATGATTGAAAGTATAGAGAAAGATCTCAGAAAAAAAGATGGATATATTGTGTGAAAGACGACATGCCTAAAAAGAAGTGAATAATACAAGAAGTGATGAATGGGGAAATTATATTACGCCTGCATAGACCCAAAGGGAAGGAGTATAATGATGTTACAAAAGTTTAAATTGACTAAATAATAATTATTACATTGCTGTGTGCACTTATTGCAGGAACTGAAGAAGCATAACGTGTGCATTGTGGTGCGCGTATGCGAGCCCAGCTACAACATCTCGCCGCTGAAAGCAGAGGGCATAGAAGTGCGCGACCTAGCCTACGACGACGGCACATTCCCACCGCTCAATGTCGTCGAGGAGTGGTTCGAGATACTGCGCGATAAGTTTGTATACTTTTCGAAATGTCTTTGTTTTTTCTGCGACTTCGTCCGCGTCAAGTTCGTTAACTGGAATAAAATGTAGCCTATTTCCCCTTCCCTCCATCCCATATAAAATTATATAGTAAGTGCATACCAAATTCACGACAGATTAAATAAGTCGTTAAGGCACTTAGGGATGTCAAAGTAATAAACTCACTTTTTTGTAATATTAATGGTAATTTACTAGCAATATTAGTATATAAATCTACTGTTTGAATGTTGTTTCTGTCTCTAATCAGCGGAGTTTGAAAAGTGGGATACGGCAGTAAAATAATAAGGTACGTAGGAATAACACAATGTTCAGAAATGATACTGTATAAGTACCACGGGTGTAATATATCGTGTTATATTCATGATACCATTCAATATCTCTGATTAGTTACCATGTTACTCTAGTTAGTTACCATGTTCTACCAAATGAGCTTGTTTTCTATTTCAAGTTACATAAAAACAAAAACACTCTGAATCTCTCTTCTGACTATATTCAGATCTGGTTGTATCATACTTTTTTCTTGGATTTTTTTTTCCTCTATTGACATGCTACTTTTTTCAATTCGTCCAAAATCAACTAACTTATAATTTGGCTAAAGAGGCACTCTCAGGCCGAACACGTTATCACTCGTAGGAATATTCCATATACACACAAATATTACTATCCTTCTTTTTAGTTGTCACTTGTCGTCCTGTATGATAAGATTGTCTGTTGTCCCAATATCCTATCAAGAAATAGATTATTTTGGAATGTTAATAGTTCCTTGTGTCTTGCTAAGATAACGGGCGTTTACATTGGAATCCCATTATTGTTTCCTCTTAAGATATCTTAATATTTATCTATCTATCATTCCAGCCATTATCCATCCAACTTACCTATCTATAATATGTAGTTATACTAAAATTATGAGTTATGTAAATTCCGTTTGTAGATGATCCAATACTTTTTATTCATTTTTCCTAGTATTTAATTTTTTTAAATAATCTACATATTTGTATTTTAATGTTTTGTAGGTAATTAATTCATGTATATATATATATATATATATATATATATATATATATATATATATATATATATATATATATATATATATATATATATATATATATATATATATATATATATATATATATATATATATACATATATATATATATATATATATATATATATATATATATATATATATATATATATATATATAAATTGTTTCATTCGAGAATATATTTTATTTGTGAAATAACTACCTATTTGATAGTAATTAATATGATTTATACAGTTACATGATTACCTAATTTGATATTTTATGATTATTTATATATTATTTAAGTGGGTTAAAGTCCGAAGTCAAATAAATAAAGTCGCAAAAAACCAGACAGTTTTATTTATTTTCTGATGGAGATAACCTAAACATTCTTTTATTGACATTTTCCAGAGCACAAAACAAACCCGAGGCGGCGGTCGCTGTGCACTGCGTGGCGGGCTTGGGACGCGCGCCAGTCATGGTCGCTATCGCGCTCATAGAACTCGGCATGAAGTATGAAGAGGCGGTCGAGACTATCAGGGAGTAAGTTTTTCATTTTCATTGATAAAATGTGCTCAGGATATAATACACTTAATAGGGTGAGAATGGTAACCTCCCCTGTGCTGTCGGTATTTGCTGGCAGAATACCAGTTATTGGTGAGAGATGCGAATGAATGACCATTGACCCATGGTGGAATTAACGACTATGCTTACAAGATGGTCGCATGAAGCTTGACTTGACAAGGTATATGTACATAGCTAGCAACTAGTACCTCAATACTAACAATCCCAGGCAGCGATATTTGTCGACTGTTGCCTGTTGTAACGTGACACTTGACATGCTTACATATCGCCGAGTGTTTTAGAATGCAAAGTTCCAAAGCAAGCAGTACCACCGTTACTTGGATAATTTTTATCGATAGGTATTTTTGGAATGGAAATTTTCAATGGAAAGTAAGTCGAAAATTTTGTTTGGCTCACAATTTTTCGTTTTAGTTAGATTCGAATTCATGACATTTGCTGTCTATAAATCAAGCTGTTAATGTATTTTTTATACGAGGTAGATAATCAAGTGAGGTCAGTGTCCTCAATTCTGATGACCCTTATTTTTACCGCTCCGGGCATTTTGCCATGATCCATAATGTCTAACGATCTATCAACAGCAAAAGCTACATTCCATTCCATTTCCTGTGATCCAGGTGCCTACAATGAAATATTTTTAAAAGTCACTGTTTTCATTTTTGGTTCGTAACGTATGTGTAATTGTACAAAACGCATGTCCTACGAAATGACCCGTTTTCGTACTATAATGCGAAAAGAAGGAAAACTGAAATTTACGCGACTAAAATACAGGAATTTATTTTTTGTCTGTAAAATATAAATAATAAAAATAGTTGATCATGAATATGTATTTTTGCTTCTTATTCTATGTGGATTAGAATCTTTTGATACTAGAGGGCGACGTCCTTACACTAATAGTAATAACTTCTCGTTTAATTTCCATAACGCCCTATATGGTTTATTATGTTTTATTCATACTTTTTTTTATTAAGATGGTATTTTAATAATAAATATTGATCTTGGGTTTATTTCTTGGGTAAATATGTAGAGGATATTGCAGAAGCCAACAAAAATGTTTACAAAATGAAGTGGATGACTGATAGGTTTATTAATTTTGTTTTATATGTTTATATATATAATTTCATGATTAGCAAATATACAAACCTATATTTATAATATTTATAGTAACATTTCCATATCTTCAGATCAAATATTCTTATGAAGTCGGAAAAGTGAAATTCATTTTCAAATGTAATTAATTTCATGCAAGATGACTTATTATGAATTTATTTTCAGTCAGCGACGTGGGGCCATTAATGCGAAGCAGCTCTCATACTTGGAAAAGTATCGACCAAAGTCGCGTCTCAAGAAGAACGGCAAGAACAACTGCTGCGTCCAGTAAGCTCGGGACGCCGACCGCTCGCTGGCCGCGTCTGTAGGAAACCGTCCTGCGCCCGTAACAGCGAATCTAACTCTGCTTTCACACACACACTTAGACAAGGGAGCATAGACAAAAATCAAATTAGTTCTTAACATAGATGTCGCCCGTTTTTGACGGCCATTTTATTTTGTTTTCATTATATTTTGAGGGCGAGTTGTAACCGAATTCTGCCTTAAAGTTGCACATGGAAGATTACACACATTCCTATTTAGTTACCCTCAACTTGAACTGACCGAGAATTTGGTTATGATCTCAGTTCCTCTATTACCATCTTTGACATGTTTAACTTGAATTTTCTATGAAATTTAATTGAGAGCCTTATTGTAAGCTAATGTTTGTATGGTCAAAGTAAACGTGTAACCCTTGTGCTGTACTGTGTATTAGTGGAATATGTTAAATAGAAGCAAACCACGATTTGTGTTCATAGTTGAAACAGTAACTCGGGTATTAAATTTGTATGTTTAATATCATAATAAATTTCAATATCCATAATAATCAAAATGCAGTCAATGTGTGCTCTATGATAATTTCCTTTTTCTTGTGTGAACTCGTTATAATTTTCTATTATATAATTTTCTATTTAGTGACATTTATTTTGTAATAAATCAAGACATGAGTTATAATGTGAAATATGTTCTTTATTGTAAACTTTAAAAATAATATGCTTTTGTAAAAGATGTTGTGAGAAAATAGACACTTTAATGCTATTAACGAATTAAAATAGTACTATACATCAACTTTGACTAAACCGTTCAGGAGATAGATTACCCATAAATAATATTATAAACTTGACACCGATATTCCATTGAGAAAGTAACTCTTTGATATTATTTTTCTATTTCTAATTTTATGGAATATTTAACGAAAATAATTATGATCGTGTAATACGGAACAGTCACACTCATGAATAAAAATATTTATAATCAACTGATCTTTCATTGTTCACTCCACACTTTTTTGTTTGTTTATTTATTTATTCTTTATTGCCCAATAAAACTTTGTATAAGTGGCGAGCTTAATGCCATATGGCCTTCTCTACCACCTAACCATTAGGTAAAAACAAAGCATATGAAGGTTAGATGTGGTGAAAAATATGTGACATATGTATATTGTAACATACTAAAATAAGCCCATAGACCATAAGCCTCCCCCTTGGGGGGTTTTGCCAGTAGTTGCCACGCTTGGCAGACGGACTGGCAACCGCTGGCTTTAGAGATGTTTTAAGAGGGATGTTGCTGCCCATAAATAGTCTCCTTTTACGACACCCACAGTAAAGGAAGGGGTGGCCTATTCTACGCCGGGATCACGGCCAATATTATAAGATCTATTGTAATATCTATAATCAATAACATTTGACTGCTTTTATTTGCAGTATAATGTTTTCTAATTCAACGAACTGGTTGCATTGATTCATTACACTATTATTTTTCATTGTGATGCGAATTTTTGTCAATCTGTTCTGACTTTAAGTTTGTACTTTTTTCATATCATATATTGTGTAGTGGGCAATTTTATGATACTGCTCATTTTTTTTTCTCGCCGTATTTATTTAATCATAGAATGTAAATAAAATTTATCACTAATTCCGGTTAGTAATTAATTATTCTTAACTTTTTATTATTATTATTACTTATTATTTTAAATTGATTGTGAACGGATGGCCGACGAAAATTGGCCGCATACGCCGACGGATATCCGACGAGTCGAGACTGAGAGAGTACTTGAATTCATGGAATTCATTTGACAATTCTACCACATCGGTTGAATGAGGGATTGTTTTGTTCCTTAAACCTTGAGTTTCTACTCAAATGCAGACGTCTTCATGAGCAGAATGGATTCGAGTGACTTTTGTGTTGATAAAAACTACGCAACAATAGCCATTTTAACTAGATAGTAGATTTATGCAGTGGTCAGTAGATTTATGCAGATAATTGTCTTATACGTATTTGTGCATGTAACTGGATGCAAACAATGGATGCAAAACTTTACACACAATACTATAAGTTAAACACAAATTCAGTGCCAATATTGAGGTTGAATAATTTAAAAAGATTAGAGAGACTACTGTTGACTGAATCAAAGAAAAAATCTCTTAAAATGCAATGTCATAGAGCAATCAGAAGTTATTTGTACAAGAATTAGTAGAAAAACATATCAAAATTAACCCAAACAAAGTGCTAACTGTTCACAGACTGAAATAAAAATGTTAACAAAATAAGTGAATTTTCGTTATTTTTTAATTCCATATAAATTCAGACCTTTCACTTTTTACAAAAAACGCACACCAGTGTAAATATTTGTCTCATTTTTGTGGTTGTATTGCCAGTCTATCAGTACGTAGTACATTATACTACGTCTATGGGCTATACTCAGTATAGCTCATCTGAGTCAAAGTTCATTTTATAGAAAATGTGACAGTAACTGTCTGTGCCTTTAGTATTTTGATGATAGTACAAGCGGCCTTGTTATTTTAACCAATTAAAAAAAAAAACTATATCATTATTTCTCGTACAAAGGTATCAAAACCGTATCTATTGATAAATTAACAAGGATATGGCACGATACATTTTTATGGGAGCTGAATGTTTGATTTAGTAAACGTCTGTGCTCCCGTAAGCTGGAAGTTTATTTCAATACTCGAAGGGACTTTTTCCATGTTCCGTTGAGAAGAATAGAGCTGGCATAACAGACTCCTCTTCCACTAGTAACTCTGCTCAATGGTGTCACGAACCAATATCCGAACTTGGATATAACTTGTCGAGTTTTGCAGAACATCAATATAATATTTAGAAAATCTATAAATAAATGATATTGTGTTTGTATATATTGTGATTGCTAAGAGAGCGAATTGGGAAACTGTCAAGCTCCCTCAGTTGGTAAACAAAAATTTACAAAAGGTAAAAAAAAACAACTCTTTGGTAATTTATCTATCGATAAATTTAGAGTGATAATGAATTAATGGCACGTTTACTAAACGTACAGTTTACCAGAATACATGAGTTTGTACTCGTTTACTGTGCTAAGCTGGACAGTTACCTTAATAATGAAGTTAGAAGAAAAAAGTACATACTAAATGGACCACTTTTACTGTGAAAATAAGACAAAAACGATTTTGTTAGTAAATATATCAAACATATTACAATAATAATACTGAAAAATACAATCTCAAATATTAATACAAAACATGATTCATAACAATATAAATTGTAAAATTAATACCTTTCTTATCTTACAAGGAACAGTGAAATATTACAAAATAATATCCTTACGAAATAAATAACTTATAAAAAAAAATCAGTACATTTTTCTCAATTATTGTTGAAACCAATTTTACATTCTCGCGGGCGAATGAGGTAGAATCTAGTTTTATTTAACTTAGATTAGAAAATTTAGTAAGTTCTCTCATTTCTTCGGGACATACTTATGGACTTTCCCGCCGTAACGTGCCACAAATGCGTTAACGTCGAATTTACGTTTACAGCCATCATAGTTCATGAAGCGTATCTTACCAAAGACGGCCCGTTCGGCCCAGCCTTGGTCGTGTATCCCACATATCGACCACATGCAACCTGTGAAGAGAATTCAGTTTTAAACATCGTCAAAATGGAGGTTTTTAATTCGTTTGCATTGTTATTATATAGTATGATAATTAACGAAATCCGTTCCTTAAAATTAGTTACTAGTATAAGCTATTACCACACCTTGGATACTTCATATCAAAACGTCACCATCCGTGATTGTCACTACAGAAACAAGTAACGTCAACCACACACGCACACATTGTCAATCTTCTTTATGGGATATAATACGTATATACCAGGGGTGGCCAACTTGACTAGACTCAAGATTTACTGTTTACTGATGAAACTCTGTGCGATCTACACATTACATACTTCTTGAAATCTCAAATGAAACAACATAGTTCAGTACACAATTATGTAGTATTGTAGTATGTTTTTATTTTATTAAGAGGGAAAACATAATCTGTATATTTATATTAGTGCGAGCATTGCATTTGAACATCTTCCGTTAGATTAGCAAAATATTATATTTTTTGCCTTGCTACAATCGACTGGTTGACCACCCATGGTATATACGATATTTCATAGTAATTGGTTAAGTCATTGAGGTGGGTAACAAACAAACAAAGTCACTTTCACATTTATAATATAAGCAAGGATTATGGATCTGTTTACAGTACAACATACCGACATAACCGTTTGGGTCCCGCCCATCCATACTGTAATGATCATTTAAGTAGATAGCATATTTCAGAGCGTCCTCTGGACTTGGCGTCCACTCCAAGATCTTCTTGCACCAGTACATGCGCAGGAAACCATGCATTTTGCCCTCTTTCACCAATTGAAGCTGTGCCGAGTTCCATAAGTCATCATGGGTGAGTGATTTGGACAGTTCTTCTAGTGAATATATATATGTTCTTTTATCTTTCCTAGAATCATAATAGTAATGTATAGATCAAATTTCTTTTAATGTTGCAGTTATACATAGGCGTATATAGAGGGTGAGGGGGGGGGGACACCATCATCACCCCAGAATAAGGAGCGGAGCCTTTCAGCAAAGGCAGGTTCACAGTGCGTACATGCCTTTTTTAAGACATTACATGCCCTGGAAAATAATCTTAAATATGTCAATATATTTATATGATAGAATTCAAACGATACTATGGATCTATTAATTCCCTAAAATATTATTAAATATTTAAGTTTGCTGGAAAAAAAATCCTACAATGTTTGCCTGTTGTAACATTTATTTTTCATTAACAGATTTTATCTCATGTTATATATAAATTATTATTATACAAATTCTAAACATATTATTAAACAAAAATTAGGATTAATAATAATTAACATTATTGGTTATGTAGTCTCGGTATAGAATGGGCATCCTTTGCTTTCTCGTGAGTGTCATAAGAGGTAACTAAAGGAACTTAATGGTTGAGAGATGTGTAGCAGCATTCCTCTTAAAACATCACCAAATCCGAACTGTGGTTATCAAGCTGCCTGCCAAATGTGGCATCTACTAGCAAAGTTCCTCATAGGGGGTTACATATGACCCCATAGGAGAGTTAACGACTGATATAACGATGAAAGTATATATTATATGTGTGAAATAAATAAACAAAGTGCTATTCAACTAAATTCACAAATACCAATGATATAACATTACATATGTATATTAAATAAAGATTAGGATTAGCAACTGAATATATTGAGGATTTATATAAATTTGCATTATAGTTAACCTGTGATCATCCAATGTTTTCTGTGCCCAACTACTGGCTCCTTTTATGCTATCATAATGTTCACAGTAGAAACAAAAATTGTCTGCAAGTTCTCGCCGAACTATCGCCTCCTCCAGGAATGCATTCACACTCTCTGTAAATTTAGTTTTGTATTCCTGTACACAGAGAGCTACTCTTTGAGCTGAGATCTGACCTGAAACAAATTGCATCATCTATTACCATCACTATCTATGCTTTTGGTATTCATTGGTGAAGTACCAGTAAGTGATAATAAGTGAGCACAAAGTTAAGTAAATTTGTCAAGACAAATACACCAGGAATGAATCACAATATCTATATTAGTGGTATTGAATTACTAAGAAACATCAAAATTTTCAGATTTACAATAATTGGAGCTAATTTATATCCACAAAACAATCACCACAGAACAGCAACTCTTATAGGATGTCTAAATAAGATTCCTTTTTTGTATATAATTACCTCAAATTTTTTTTTATTTATACTTACCAAAATGTAACCAAGGTGATAAATTACTTAAAGCATCTTGCATGGGATCATTCCGTTTAGAGGCAAATATTTTTAACCTTACATCTAGAAAACTCTTGAGCATCTTCATGGCTTCGTCATATCCAGGTTTTGCCCACTCTATTGGTCCCACTGATTTGTCTGCTTCCCTGGACTCGATGGCTTCATTCCAATCTATTGGCTACAGATTTATAACATTTTAATTTTGTTATGTGCTTTAAAATTTTTCATTATAATATTGATAAGAGAAATGTGGGAGAGATTAAGGTGATCCGAAATCGGTAAAATAAGGAACCAGTTTCACTTATTTTTGTTCCAGTATAAAAAAAGTTGCACTGGCTTGTTCCAAAATGTTATATTGAAACCCTATTCCAATATAGATGACTGGTTTATAGCAGAGGACACCTGCTAATTCTTTCTAACATAGTTTAATTCAATATATTAATTACGAAAAGAATACGTTTCATTTAACACAACTAATATAGAACAGTTGTTATCTTTCTCTAACACAGAATAACTCCATATGTTAGATACGAGAAAAATGTGTTCCATATTTAGAAAGTTTGATGCGGTCAGTTATGAAATTGGAATAGTTGTAACAGTGTGAATGAAACAGTTCCGAGTTGTTATTTTTAGAAACCTGTTGTGTTCAACTATTCCAATAATGAATAAATGAATGAGTATATTTTATTTGTATTATAAAATATAGGGAAAAATCAAGATTAATAAATAAAGTTGTAAGGCGGTATTGCTAAAAGCAATCTTTTATGAGGGCAAAACAATAAAGTTTTACCATCTTATTTTATAATGAAATTATAAACACAACAATCTATTATTCTATACAAAATGGGGTATGATATAGTTACATAAAAGTTATCCATACAAATTATGTATTGTTATTGTAATCACTCTGCAATGATGAATATCAGTAATTAAATATATTTGTGTACTATTTTTAAACAATGTACAAAATGTGGTATATTAAGTTGTAGTCATAAATGTAAGCCAGTATTATACAAAATATGTGTTAAAAAATTCTAATAATCCACTTTCAACTTACTTCTGGTTCAAATTTGCTGGTGTATGGGTGTTTGATAACTGGTGGAAACTCTGTTAGGTATTCTTCAAGTTTTGAGTTTATTTTATTCCTTATGGTTCTGGCTGAATATTCCTGTTTATCTGAAGTAACCCAACAGGGAATAATATTATGAGCATCTACCTGGGAAATATATTAAAAATTTATTTATCATTAATATCAATACATAGAAACTGCATTAGAGGTTTCTGTCTATAAATATACATAGAAGAATTTCAATTTTATAATTTGTGGAAAAATTGTTTAAAGGCAAACCATTACTAAAGAAACAGGGCCTTTTATTTTACAATTTCCCAGTGACTATAATGCAGTGTGACAATATTTGTGAGTATATAAATAATGAGGTGTGATAAAAATTATTTATGAAAATAAATGAAATGGAAAACAGCTAAAAAGTGAGAGAAATTTCATGATATGCTTTTTGTCATTAATATAGTTACAATATTTATAAGGGCTTATTGTTAAGATCAGAAAACAATTGTATACATTGGCAAAATAGTTAAATCAGACTGATTTATTATGGTAAACATTTTTTTATTCAATTTACCTGAATCAATGGTACATCATTTTGGAGTTTCTTTTTAAGGCCCTCTAACCAGCTTAGAGGTACTCTCAGTGGATTAAAGTCGCACACAACAGCACCAATACTATGGTCAATCACCCATTGTGGCAATACATCAGCTCCACTGCCCTCGAGCAAATGAAATGATATGTTCAATTTCTTGCAATCTGCTGCTACTTTCTCTAATCCTAAAAACAGCAATAAATTTTTATCATCATTTCCAGATGTCTCCAGAACTATAGGGATCAGAAATTCTCAGTAAAACAATTTAAAATACACAAAACACATTACATCATTGATGAAAAATGAAACCAATTGCCAATATAATATTCTGAGGACAATAGGGAACAGAGTAGATTGTTCCTTTATTCTCAAATATGGCTACCTGCATTTACCTAGGTACTAATATTTTATGTTTTACTAATATCTTAGAATAAATCCTATTAACAAATTGTGGCAATTAAAGAAAATAAGTAATAATAAACAGAAAAAAGTTATCCACTGATCTTCCATAGTCTGCCAAAAGGAAGTTCTGAGTCATGAAAATTCACAGACTTCAGTACTCCATCTAATAATGTTTAATAACCAACAAACCACCCCTAAGGGTACTGACTGACCTAAATTTTGTAATTAAAAAAATACATAACTAATAATGATATAGATATTAAAAAAAAATGAGAAATAGTCATCTACAACAGTTAGAACTTTGTGTAGCAGAGATCGTCAGCTTGTCTTCCTTTCTAAGTTGCATACAAAAAATCCAGTATTTATATAATTTATTTTCCTGCAACTAAGCAACTTGTGCTCGCAAGTCTGTGTTTCAATTTAAAGGGAATGAAATTATTAGGTATGGTATTCTGGTGATATGACACCTTAGTCATTGACATTTCAAGAATATGTATAAAAAATAATTAACCTTTTAATAAAAAATGGAACTGTCTTATTGATGCATCCAAATATTTTGCTACTAAACAAAAACACACATGTAGTGGCACTTCGTTCTTTAGAGCAAGTTGTTGTGCGAACAATAGTGCCCAATTATCCTGAACTCTGCTATCTCTAGACATCCAATATACGATTCCTTCACAACTTTCCGGAACAAGTTGTGATTGAGATATAATTCTTAGGCGTTTCTTGATAAATTTAAATTTAGAAATAGATTCAGCTGTTTCTTCGCGTTTCACATGTATTTTCTTTATAAAATCCTCGATGGTTTGCTTTGTTTCATCACTTGATGTCGACGCTGTGGATAACTTTGGTTTTTTAGGCGCGGAAGCCATTTTTAAGTAATGGCATGTGGTTTTAACTAATAATTTTAATCGCATGTAATAGTTGTTGATAATTCGACTTTATTAAACAGTAAGTCTACTTAATTACCCTCTATTTTAATTTTAACGCGAAATTTTTTTCGCGGATTTTTTTTACACTGACAGTTGCAGTGTTGCCAATTCACTTCAGATTTTTGCCGTTTTTGTGCTTTATGAGCCGTTTTCTTTAAAAAGAATGTCAATTTTGACAACAAATTTGTTAATGAGAAAAAATTAATATAATTTACTATAAACTTTTTATTTATAAACTTTTCCAAAAAACTTATTTCTTTTGTTTTTACTATTACAAATTTTTGTAGCTAATGAAGTTACAAGTATAATTAATATGAAAATTTCATTTAAAAAATGATTATTTTATACATTTAAATCAATTTAATGCTTAAAATATATAAAACTCTATAATATGATATATGATGATCTAATCCCATATCATCATAAAAATTAAAACCTTCTACAAACTCATTAAAAAAATGTTTTGTTAATTTCTTGCAAATGAGGAATTCAGCGCAAAGGAAAGAGATAAAACAATTCAGCAGCTCAAATCAATTTATAAGAGGTTTAGCGTTTTTATGAATATGGAGGCAAGCTTTTGTTGTTTTTATAAGTGACAAGGGTATTAAACCTGTGGTCAAAAGAAAAATTAAAATTTGACGAGGCGGATTGTTTTAATATTTTCCTTCTTATTTTACTTATATTGTGCAAAATGGGCTAGTGGCTTTTTGCGACTTTATAGTGTACATAGTACGTTATGCTAAGTCTATGTGTACGACATTTTGGATACGATAAGGAGTAATAATATATTTTATTCTTACCCTTACTCTATCATTGAAATGTGATGTAAGCACCGTTAACAAACCTAACGTACCTTATTCAAAAGCATCAGATGAGGATCGATAAGTTCCTTTGTTACTACTTTTAATTCTAAATTGTCCGTTGAAATGCGTTTGATATATTATATCTACTATCAATATAAAATAAATAATAGATACAAATAACAACAGACGGGGTTTGTCTTCATTAATTTAATGACATAAATAAATTTAATAAATTAAATCGATCACAAACATGATTTTATATTTATTGTTTTATTTTATTAATATTTATTTTAGTAAGTTGAATGGTTCTATTTCTTCGTTATTCTTAGGGTTGTCACTTGAAAAAAAATTGTTCTTCAAATATTCACTGCATGGATGACAATTGATTCTATCTATATTTATCTTCATACAATCGAAGGAACAAAATGCAACAAGCTTGCAACATTTGCATTGAATTTTTTCTTCAGCCAATGGAAGTATGCACTCGAAACAAACCTTAAATTTTTCATCCTGTAATAAATATTTAAGATTAATATAGGCAGTAAATTTTATAATAAGGAAGGAAGAACTAAATGTGCTGAAATTATAATAACATTTTTTACAAGTTCAGGCATCACGTAAGGTTTTTTCCAAAATATTATTTTTGGGGTTAATATCTCAGCTGATTTATTTTCTTGCAAAATACTCAAAACACTCGAGTCTATTATATTTTTCTCCTGTGCTGTTGGCACTGATTTAGAGACGTAACCAAATTTAAATTTAATTTGATAGTACTGCACAATACAGAGCAAATGCTTCAAAATTCTTTTATCACTATACATTTTTTTCTGTTTCGTTTTAAAAATGTCCCATATTTCAAGACAGCGTTGTGGTGTTAGCCAAAGACCAGTACTTTTTTTATGCTTATGCTCTTTTAATATTATATTCCAGTGACGATGTTTAAATCTGTAAAAAAATATAAAATTTTAATTGTGTTTGATATAATATTCCAATCGTTAATAGAACGGTCGCCTATTGACATAGGCACCATCATGGGCATCACAGTGTATCCTATGGTATTCGTCATGCCTTGCTATCCCTGAAACTATGGCGTTAACCTCCGTACATTTCAAGTTTACTGTCATATCAACCGAATTCATTTTTTAGTTATGCCAGCGCAACTGTTTTATGGCAGAATCATCTGTGGTATTCAAATACTGCAGACTTATTAGACTGCGTGAGATTATTTTTCTATAAGGTTTATAAAATAAAAAGCGACAAAGATTTCAACTCTAATTTGTCAAGATTATACATTTTTAGAGTCAACAATTTAGGTATGATACACAGCTACAGTGACTTTCCATCAAATTAATAAACGTACTTGTTTATAAGTTCAACTAGCTCTATCATTAACTTCGCTTGCAGCCATCTTATATACAAAAGTCTAGCGCATTCTGTTACAAGTTCTATTGCCTGTTTATAATCTCCAACTACGTCTACCGTCATTTTTCCTATCGATTTAGTTGAAAGTTCCTCGCCTTTCTTCGGTTTATCTTTCATTTTATTTTTTACGTCTGATTTATCTGTAAATAGTTTTATTAATAATAATTTTAAATTAAATTATAAACATTTGACCACTTGATTATTTATAAACTTACTTTGTGTAGTGACTGGATTTGTCTTGCCTAGAGAACTTTCTAATTCCATCAACGATTTTTTGGCAAAAACAAATATATTTTGATATTTCACCCCACCATGTTGGCATTCTATAAATGGATCAGCTCCAAAAAGAAGTAAATTGGTAAGCTAGAAATTATAATATGTGATATTATGATGATTACTTATTGATATTTATTTATTACTAGTTTTATCTACGTCTTTGTCCGGATATTCAGGATAATTATGTTAATAGACCGAGATAAAAAGTATTACAGCAAGGGTAACAGTAAGAGTACGCAGACATTTTTTAATTATTTACTTATAATACCTATAATACCTTACCTAAGTATAAAATTACGACTTTAAAATCATTATACTAAAAAGATTATGGACAACTAAGTTTCAAGCACCAAATATAATTACAAATCCGTAGTATGGTATTTTAAAACCTTCATGGCCGCTCAGTTATACTTTTACATTTACTGTGTATAGGTATATGAGATACATTTGATTGAATATAAATTTTATATAAGACGTTGTTTTCAAATTTGTATTGTACATTAGGTAAGTGTACATTAATTATGTTTCAATTCATTGTGCATTATATTTAATAAATAAACGTAAATTGAAAAAAAAAGTCTTACAATTTGCAGACGATCTGTGACACCAGGAGTTTTAAAGAAGGGTAAATAGAACATTTTAACTAGAACTGTCTGATTTTGATCATTGATAATTGCATTCAGGTTGCATCCTGGGCTTTTCAAAAATATATTTAATAAGTTGAAATTTTTTGTCATTGCGACATCAACAGCAGAGCGCCCTTTAAATTGAATCATTGGATTGCAATTATACTCCAGTAATAATTCTATCGTTTGCTGTCGAATCTGAAATATACAGAATAGCTTTAAGAATCCGAGATACTTGTATAATACTACTGTCGATAAACTTTATAATTTATAAAAAACTAAAAAGCAAAACTAAATGAAAATGTCGTCTGGTATCAAACCTGTTCTTCTATTTCATTTTCTGTTCTCTTCGCAAGAACAGCATGTAGCAAAGTTGGACCAGGTATAAGAGGATTAGATCCAAGATCTCCATATTGTAGCCTATAATTTGTATTACCACCACATTCCAGAATTGCACGAATCACCTCTAAGTTTTTATATGTAAACGGACGAGATACCGCCACGTCTAACGGTGTATAGCCTAGTGTCTGTAAAGAGCACCAACAACATTAGTAGATAAAATGGGTGTGGATAATTTTTAAATGACGTAACTAACTGGCAACTCATTATGATACTTACTTGACAACATATTTCATTAATATCAGCTCCATAATTTACTAAATGCCGAACGAGATCTGATGAGTCTGCGACAGCGGCAATAAATAGAGCAGACTGGGGGCATTTTATTAACTTTGGGTTTGCACCATCAGATAATAGCTGAAGAATCGTTGACATTACTCGAGTTAACCTGAAATAAAAATTTAAGTAGATTTATTATATAAACTAACTAATTATAAATGGTTTGATACAACAATTCCAAATTAGGTCGTACACCTATTAAAACTAACGTAGATGATATAATTATACGAGAAAGTGTATATATAAGTTGATTCACATGCAGTGTTTTCTCAATCAACTTAAAAAAGAAGGAGGTTACTCAATTCGGTTGTATATTTTTTATGTCTGTTGCCTCAAAACTCCGCAATTTATAAATCGATATAGAAAAGTCTTTTTCTTTTATCTGAAACGGAATACTTTCAGATTTGTAATTCTATTGTATTTTATTTGGAATAGGATCATTCTAGAATTTTTAATAATTTAACTCCTCCTTACGGGAGACAGTGTTCAGTAGTAGACAGTTAACGGCTAATACGATATGATGATACGATAATTAAATCAACATATTTACATATCGGTTTTCTGTTTTTGAACACTATCGATTGTTGCACTATTCTCATCACAGTCAGAACTTTGCCACATAATTTCTTTACTGAGTTTTATTGTATCCTTATAAATTTTGGATGCGACTTTCTTGGAAACATTATCATTAAGTTTTTTTGGTTCATCTTCATTTAAATCAACTTCTTTAACCAAGTCATTGATTTTAAAAATGTACGGAATTGGTATGGTTCCGCTTGTAACTGAGAAAAGATCTTTTACTTTTATGGAGTATTCATTACTAATATTCTGGTATACACTTCTGTTCACCGAGAAAGTTTCATCTGAGTCAAGTTCATATAACTCAGTAGGTTTAGCTAGTGGAACTTCAGTTTTCTTTTTTGCAGATAAAACCTCCTTAAGAGACTGTGACGATTTATTGACGATTGCCTTGGCAGTAACATTTTTACTCGATTTACTGGTTGTCCTAATTAGTGATGCACCAATAACATTTTCTTGATCACGTGTCATATTCCATTCTAATATTGTATGTTCAGGTAGAGCTAAATAAAAATAAATACTAATCAGTGAAAAGAGTAGTTACTAGATATATAAAAAATATTAATATACTTATATATTATAACAGGTTTAAATATTTATAAATATAAGAGTTAGTCGATATTGCTGACTATAATTAGTATTCGTTTATTTATTTTTTATTTATAAATAAAGTTTTAGATGAATGAGTAATTCTACTAGAAATATTTTTATTTGTATTTTTTTTTTTTTTATTAAGGACTTGCTTTATTTTTAAATATGTTATTATATATTTATATTTTACAATAAATGTTCAAAAATTTCTCATAAATCGGAACGATCGAATTTTATTTAAAAATTAATGGACCGTTCCTTATGGCAGTCTATGGGGAGATCTATATCCAGAAATGGACGAAAAATGGCTGAAATAGTGATGATGACGATGATGATAATTAATAGGTTAACTCTGGAGGATTTCTGAAATCGGTCTTTATTTTCAAGAATAATATTTGATACGAAATATGTTAAAATGGCATAAACATACGAGGTGTCGGGACGACAGGTGGTGGTAATAATGCTTGAAGCATTCCATTTGTCGTTATATCTTTTTGTAAGCAAGCAAATCTCATTAGTGCTATTCCGAGTGCAGTATAGCAAGAGTCATTGTAATTATTTACATTTGCACCGGCTTCCACAATAAAATGGATTACGTCGCATTGATCTCCACACTGTAATTTTATTTCAATTCTCTTCAATTTAATATTTAATTTTAGTTATTTATGAAACAAATTATATGTGTACTAGCATTCTTACCCACAAATTCGTCTGCGTTATCGGGATATATTGATTAATCGTAATAAATTATTCGTTAAGCTGTTAAAGCGGCAAGAGTTAACAAACAAACTTTCACATTAACAATATTAGTTTTATGCAACTTAGAATGGCAAATAAGCTGATGCCTGCCCATCTGATGGAAAGTGGCAACCGTCACCTATAGACATGAGCAATACCATGGATATAACAGAGTATACTGTTTCGCCCATAATACCCCCCGTGCGTTGCCATTCCTGAGGACTCAGGTGTTATTCCTCTGTATCCTGTAAATTCACTGTCATATTCTACCTTTCAAATCGAAACACAGCCATGCAAACAAAATTGCTTCACGATAGAAACACGAATTGGACAGAGGTGCTCAAGCAAACGACTTTTGTACAAAGTCTCTCTGGTGAAATAGTTTCACCATCAGCTTTACATTTATATATCTAATACTTACAGTGGCATACATTAAAGCAGTATTCCCTTGATTATCTGCTACATCAGGATGTACGTTCAAGTCATTGACCATTTGAACAACATTCGTAAGATCTCCTAAGTAACTGGCCATCAAAAGAGTTCTGTAACGTAAAGTAGACACTTTAAATTAAAAGATAAAAAGACCACGGTTTTAAAAATTTTGCTTTTTAAACGAACCTGCAATCAATTTCATGTTTAGCAGCCGGTTTATACTTTTTTCTTGGTCCACTTATTATACTTGCTAAGTCAATTTCAGATGACCTCTGCATTTCATGCTGATAACAGTGCTTTATCATATGTACGATGGTATCACTGTTATTCCAAGCAAAATAGAGTTCTGTTCCTTCCAGATTGCCCATGTTGTCAGGACTCTCTGACTAAATTATGGATATTGAATTTGCAGTTCATATTTCAATACATTACACACAGATTTTATATTAAGGAAACGGTTTTTAGAAACATACCACTGTTAACATAGACTTAATTTCTTTGAGAATATGTAGTGGCTCATTATAATATGTATGTTCAAAAATGTCTGTTTGACACAATTGACTGGCTTGGTCCGTACAGTGTTTGGGATATAATTTTATCCATTGATCTGCTGCCCATCTTGGATTTGATCCAAATTGTTTTAGAAGATCCAAGGCGCTGTTTATTTCACCGATCTTTAAAACGATTAAAAGCATTACAATTTAATTCTTTTCTATTTTCAATATTATTTTATATCCTGGGAATGTAAAGGAGTGGTAATATTTTTAATTATTAATTATTTAATAATTTTTAATTATAAAATAATAATTAAGCAAATGACTAACAGTCTTTGTGGTAGCTACAAAAGCAATTCGATGTGGCTCAACACAAGCTCTTCCGATACTGCCAGCTGCCAAATCAGGGATAATATTAGGGGTTTGAGGACGCCATGCTAGTCTTATTAGTTGAGTGCCACGCCAGAGACCTACGTTATCACGCATGCAAGCACTGTATTCTATACCAGGACCCCAGCGAACGTTGCTGTGGTACAAACCCTAAAATAGAAAGACTGGTTATTCATTGAGAATAGTACTCGTAATACCATATGATAATGTTCAAGAAATGAAAAAGTTTAATAATTATTTTCATATATATACTAACTTTATTGTTTAAAGTTCTTGAGTTCCGGTAGTTATTAAAACTATCACCGAGATTGAAGTTGATATATTTTTTAAACTAATTCTTATATACCTTAAAATCATTAATAATAATAATACATAAAAATTAAACCTTATAAAAAAAAAACCTTATATATTAAACCTTATTATACATTCAACAGTTACTCACAGTGAATACTCTACCATCCGGATACGACATAGTACCATAACCGTGCATACAATTGCTGTAGAAGTGTCCCTCGTACGTTACGAAGATGCCCTCAGGACCCCTGTGTCGCCAGCGATAATCTCCAAGGCCGTGCATCGTGTCCCGAATAAAATGTCCCGTGTACCATTCTAATGACTGGATCATAAGCAAAATTACTATTTTTTATACCACAAGGATAGCAAACAAGTGTACAGTCTGCAGCTGTTTTTATTTTCAGAAAGCGTAGTCCATAGAATAAATCTAAGGATTTCCAATACAGATGTATTTTTTAATAAATAAAAACTGAATAGTATTCACCTATTATCCTTCACTACTACACTATCAGTGAATGGAGATAGGTGTGGTAGAAGTCAAGTCAGCGTTAGACATAATAACACCTGAGTCCTCAGAATTGACAACGCATGGGGGGTATCATGGGCGAAACAGTATATACTGTTATGTCCATGGTACTGCTCATGACTATAGGCGACGGTTACCACTTTCCATCAGGTGGGCCGTCAGCTTGTTTGCCATTCTAAGTTATATATATATATATATATAAAAGACGATCGTAGATTACCCAGGAAATAATCACAATAAACTCAGCGGAGAGATGGTACTTTGCATAAATAAGAATCGGGTTCTATTGTTAGTTGAACCAATTAAGGTAATCGACTTTTTTAAAATTGTCTGGCTGGAGTTCATAGGTTATTTAGTAGTTTGAGATTCTAGCATTTGGAGCATTCTTCTATTTTATATCACAGGGAGCACACGAGCATACAGCTAATCTGGTGGTAAGTGACAGTCGCCACCCATGAGCACGCGCAATACCGAAGGAATATTGGGGGAAAGGGATTGTTAGTAATGGAGACTGAGAATCCCATTGCTAGCAATATACCCAATCACGTCGACCTCCTCGCGGTTCTCCCTGGAAACTATCATGGTTAATTCCTGATGAATTCATCTTGATGGGCTAACTGACCTGTTTTCATTTTCATCTAACACCCTTCACTGGTGCTCCGCCAGCGTATCCCATTAGTGCAGGCGGAGTTACCGTTACCATACCATTTTCACCCATAAAAAAAATATACCAAAGGAATTGCAGGTGTGCTGCCGACCTTACTATTTGGCACTTATTTTAAAAGTTCAGTCAATTTTACACTACTACTACATTAACACATATGTAATACACTTATATTATAAACTTTTCGTGAAAAACATATGTGCAAATAATACATAATTAGCTTGTTCATTATAATTACAATCCCTTCATACTATTTTGAATAAATCTCTAGATCGCTATATGTAATCACTCTCTGTAAAATACATACCTATTGGTAAATAATTTTTTCTACCATCCGATTTCAGTAGGTCAAAATGAAATGATAAAAAGTACCTGTGCGCCATTTAAAATAATCACTGTGTTATCAATACTTTCTCACGGTTGTTATCGCGTATTATTAATATTGTGACTGGGTATTTAATATTACGTATAGATATAAATAAAATCGTTCTCACTAAAAAACGGTTTCAATAAAACAAGGAAGTAAGCTATATTTTAAATTCCCAATCCGGACTTAACGTTTCAACGTCGGAAATATTAATTAAGTATGTATTACATGCAATCGCATCACGTTAAGTCCCCGATCGCGAATTTAAAATATGTGTAAACAACGTTTAAGTTTAATATTAACTAGTTAACAATATACCCATATATTAGGTAGAAATTAAACCTTTATAAAAAAAGGCATCAAAAAAAGAAGGTTTTAAATTAGTTTTTTTTTTGTTTGTTACTTTCATCATCTTTAGTTCTAAACCGATTTACAAATTCTTTTCATCTGATTAAAACATACCCACAGATTAGTTCCATAAATTTTTTATCAAAATTGGATCAGTAGTTTAGTTTTTATATCAATGTTTTTGTCAAAAAATTAAATCGGTTTCTTTTGTGGGACACATTTTTTTTTATTATAATATTTTAGTATTATTCCTTGGCTTAATTATTTAAAAATTTAGACATATAAACATGATAAGAAATACGAATAATATCATGTACGTGAACATTTTTCCTCATTGGTGTGTTACATATTCGTCGTTACCTAACGTTCGTTTCTATATTTGAATATTCACGCTTATCTATTATGTATTTACTCTAATTCTTTGTGTAAATTTTCCATTGAATCCAAAAACGTGACCGGTATGAGTATTTTTTACACATGCTTTGATATTCTATAGTTTCATTCTTTTGTCAATTATATGTCAGTCTAAATTCTATAATTTATTTTAAATTTATTGTAAATTAAACTCGCCACCTATGTTGGGAACGCAGGTAATAGTAGGTATATACACGAAAGGAATGCAATTATTTGGCACATTTTAATTTAATTTCTTACGTCTAAGGTCGACACAGGCATTGGATTCTAATTATTCTATTACTGAGTTCGAAAAATTGTTATATTATATGTTAAAAGAATTCGCAAGAAACTTAGCAGATACTATTTTCAAACATATTAATTTGATTCTGGAATTTTCTTTCTCATGCACTGGGTTTGCTATATCAATATTGATAGTTTGGTATTGATAACAATTGTTTATCGAACGATTTCGGTCATTAAACTATAGGTAACCATATTGTTTTATCAGTATTTTGTAGTCTCTGCGTCCTCATGTTCGTTGTTCCCTTAATCACCTCTTATTCTAAGGTATAGTGATAACACATTTACTTACCCTGTCGCATACTACACCAGAGGGAGACTTTGTACAAAAGTCGATTGCTTGAGTACCTCTGTCCCATTCGTGTTTCTACCGTGAAGCAGTTGTATTTGCATGGCTGTGTTTCGGTTTGAAGGGTGGGATATGGCGTGAATTTACTGGGTACGGAGAAATAATACCTGAGTCCTTAGGAAATGTAACGCATGGGGGGTATCATGGGCGAATCAGTATACTCTGTTATGTCCATGGTTCTGCTCATGTCTATAGGCGACGGTTACCACTTTCCATCAGGTGGGCCGTCAGCTTGTTCGCCATTCTAATTTGTATAAAAAAAAATGAAGAAGGAAGTGATTAATTGAAAAAATATAAACCTCTGGTCCCGACCAATGGTTCTCCCCTTGTCCATTCTTGCGTCTTTCATGGTCTCTCAGTCCTGTGTAATATTCATCATACGTCCAATATTTCTTTGCTTTCGTCCCAAGCGAATGGCAGGTCGACGATGATTTAATCATAATAAATAAAAGATCTTCTATTATATTTAAAATACCATTATTATTTATGTCATTAACGAATAAATAATAGAAAATGCTATCAAAAGTTTTATGAGAGCTTATACATGTAAAAAAAATGCTATAAGAAAAATTTAATTTTCAACGGATATTGTTATGTCAATCACATATGTAAAATGTCAAAAGATATCGTAAGCGGCGAGTTATTTTTGAAATACTTAGAATGAGAATATAAAGTATTTTTCGTATTACATTATACAAGCCAATTTGGCTCTATTTAATATTAAAAAAATTCTTGTCGCGTCAATGAATTAGTCTAACGTCTTATTATCTAAAAATAACATGTTAAAATATAATATTTTTAGAATGGGATTATGGAGGCAAATAAGTAGTGTAGGTATGGCATATGGTCCATCTGATAGAAAACGGTTATGGTAGTCTGTAAATGCGCGCGTTGCAGTCCCTTATTACACCATTTTGAAAAACCCCTTGCTGTAGACTCAAAAAGAAACATCGGCAGGGAGTTCATTCCACAACTTGCATCGTGTCCAATATAGCAGAGTATAGGGAATTATTAAATGCTTTTATTACTTACATATTTGATCGTTAAAATTAAGTCATTATACTTAGAAAAATTATATGTATAATTATTTTAGTATGTTACAATATAATATATCAATATATCACATCTTTTTCATCACCCCTGCCCTTCATACGCTTTCTGTCTTTACCTAATAGTTAGCTAGTAGAGAATGCCATATGACATTAAGCCCGCCACATATACAACATTTAATTGTGTATTGCACAATAAAAATATGATAAATATATAATATATAAAAAATGCAAATAAATAAAAATCTTGTATAAAATCCAATAAAATAGTTAAATGCAATTAATTACTTTTACTTTAGGATAAATATTATATTAAAATAGGAAAAGTAATTAGATAAACATCAAAAATCTTTTCTGTAAAGTATTATAACATGTAAAACATATCCAAAATTGTTAAATCAACGAGACATATAATTTAATTATATAATACAATGTAACAACATTAAAAGTCTTAATATTATAATAAACAATAAACTCAGCAGCAGTTAAACCGTAAACAACTGGACTTCGATTTCATAAAGTATGTATATTCCTGTAACAATAAAGAACGGTTAGTATATATGTATACATAGTTTATATATATTTACTAGTACCACAATCACTACATAATATAAAAAAGTCGCTTCCCGCTGTTTGTCCCTATGTATGCTTAGATTTTTAAAACTTACCAGACTTACATTTTTTATCAGAGGGAGACTTAGCACAAAAGTCGTTTGCTTGGGTACCTCTGTCCCATTCGTGTTTCAAGCAGAAGGTTGAAGCAGTTGTGTTTGCATGGCTGTGTTTCAGTTTGAAGGGTGGGATATGGCGTGAATTTACAGGGTACAGAGGAATAACATCTGAGTCCTCAGGAATGGCAACACATAGGGGGTATCATGGGCGAAATAGTATACTCTGTTATGTCTATGGCACTGCTCATGTCTATACAGGTGGGCCGTCAGCTTGTTTGCCATTCTAAGTTGTATAAAAAAAAAACTACGCAACGGATTTTGATGCGGTTTTTTTTTTCAATTCAAGAGAATTCGAGAGGAAGGTTTATATGTATAATACATGTATAATATAGTAGAGAAACACTGATAATTTTAAAGTTTAATGTGATAACCTAAATAAACACATTCGTACTTTAGTCGGTAAGGTTAATTTTTAAATCGCTCTGTAGTATTATATATTAAGTATGAGCATTGCACCTGTGCAAAGCCGGGGCGGGCCGATAGTATAGAATAAATACAAGCACAAATATCACGTAACTTTATAAGGAAGAATAAATAAGTACAAAGAACTCTCAAACAAAAAACCTTTTGTGCAATTTAGGAAAGTAATTTTGCTTTCAATTAATGTAAAATTATTCTGCAAACAATGATTAAATGTCAATTCCATGCAAAATGAAGGTTTTACGAATTAATTGGCAATAATAAAATTAAATAGCGACTCAATAGATGTATTTAACGTTTAAAAAAAGGCGGTAACAGACGACCGAAATAATTCAGCTTTTAAAAATATCAAATATATTTAAGTAAGTTATTAACAATAAAAGAGAATTATTTAGAAAATAACATTAATAGGGGGTAATTAATAACTTAATAGATTTAACTTTTAAAAGTAAGTGATTAATAGGCGACTGGATTAAAAATTAGTTTTAGATTTAAGTTAATAAGTGTGTATGGAGGTATTTAGCTATAATTTATACTTATATCTTAGGGGGAATTAGTAACCGAATAGATTTATATAATATAAGGGGTAGTTAGCAAAAGAGCGATGAAATAGATTTACTTAGTACTTATAAATAAAGATGCACCTGTATTAAATGTGGAAACATTAAGATTTCGAGCTAGAGTCATTGTTCTACATTTTTAACATCTGTTTTTAGTGACAAGGATCTGATAGTTTGGGGTAAACTTAGTAGGCTTACCCCAAAATCTATTACTGACATATGACTATAAATAAATAAAACATACCAAAAGAAATATGGCTCCCAATAGTAGCGCTTTATGTTTAGGTTGCACAGTCGTGTTGGGAATCTGCAGGGTAGTTACGAAACTATTCAATGCTCGGTCCCATCCGTGGGCTATTTTGCCCACTTCCCGAAGAGAGTCAGCTGACATAATCTGTTGAAGAAAATATAATTTTTAATTGGTTAAAATGTCTAGCTAATAAATGAGAATTTAAATTGTTAATTACAATAGCATAATTTATTTTAATTAATTACCACTTAGCAAGAGCTAACCATTATTGATTTTTTTATTTTAATAATTATAATAACCTTAATATTATTACCTTTATTGTTTGGATATTTACTTCAATCATGCTTATACAAAATAACTAATAAATATGTGTATTTTTAATAATTACATTTCTGGGGGGAAAAGGGATTGTTAGTAATGGAGACTAAGAATTCCATTGCTAGCAATATATCCAACCAGGTCGACCTCCTCGCGGTTCCCCCTGGAAACTATCATGATTAATTCCTGATGAATTCATCATGATGGGCTAACTGACCTGTTTTTATCCTCATCAAACACTGTTCACTGGTGCCCCGCCAGCGTATCCCATTAGCGCAGGTGGGGTTACCACTCCATTTTCATCCAATAAAAAAATATATTTACATTTCTAGTCCAAACGTCTTAAAAGCATTTGAGTAGGTTTTACTACTTTTATGAATATTATACCTTGACTATAATATATATACTATAATACATTGATGAAAAAGGTAATTACTTTTTTCATCAATAAATTAAACTGTTTTAACTGCACATCGCGACAAAGATACGGATATACTGATATACGAGAACGTACATTCTCGAAAATAATTAAGTACTCTTTTTTATGCAATTTAGAATGGCAAACAAGCTGACGGAAAGTGGTAACCGTCACCTATAGACATGAGCAGTACCATGGACATAACAGAGGATACTGTTTCGCCCATGATACCCCCATGCGTTGCCATTCCTGACTCAGGTGTTATTTCTCTGTACCTGGGACTTCACTGCCATATCCCGCTCTTCAAATTGAAACATTGCTCTTTCGCTTCTTCCACATTCATCAATTTTTTCATACACGCTCGCCGGTTACGGGTACTTTTAATTTGGCCCTTCTTCAGAACGTCGCCTATTTGGTCGATATACGTCCATCTAGGGCGGCCCCTATCGACATCTCCATTCATTCTTGTTCGATAAATCTCTTTTGTAATTCTTCTTTCATACATCCTCTCCAAATGGCCAAGCCAACGCAACATTCCTTTTAGATTTTGTCACTATATCTTTCAGTCCACAGTTCTCTCTAATCACACTGTTTCTTACTCTGTCTTGTAAAGAAATAACCTTGAATTCCGTAAGCATGAGCGCGCTCCTCGTCAGTGCGGCGGGGCCTTCGATCACGAACAGCACGTCGTCGTGGATGTCTCGTACCTTGTACAGCGGCATCCAACTGCACTGTTGCTGCACTCGACCCACGTAGTCCCCGGGCGGGGTTATCACTTTCATTTCCTTTAAAAAAATATAATGTTTTTCATCAGAATTTGTATTTTTTAATGGGCCACACCTTCCTTTCCCGTGGGTGTCGTAAGAGGCAACTAAGGGAACTCAGTGGTCGAGGAATGGGCAGCAGCGTTCCTCTTAAAACAGTACCAAAGTCTAACTGCGGTTGGCAACTCACCTACTAAGCATAGCAATTATTGGCAAAACTTCCCTCATGGGAAGAGGCCTATATACAGCAGTGGCCTATTAACGGCAAATATAATAATAAAAAACTATAAAAAATATAAAAATAAATAGTTTCGAATACTTATATATATGGAAGAAGAATAAGAACATCTCTCTTGTATATATTATCTATCTTATATATATGTAAATAAAGTCTTTTGACATTTATTAATTTTAATTTGGCGCGTAATAGACGTTGAATCAAATTATCAGAATAACTTGTCATTCATTGTCATTCACGAGGAAGTATCTAGATTTATATATATTAAATTGCTTATAATTATTATTAATATAATGTGAAAAGGACTCCATTTTCCGCGCTTAGCCTCTCACTTGGGCCAATATAATATTTTAAATTGTTTTTAATTCTTGAAATAATAGCGTAAAATGTTGTTTCTATTTTCAGGTGAGTTGTGTAATATCGATATATTAATAAATTAATTAAGTAATAATTCAGAACAATTGTTAATAATAAATTACTCTTTTTTCAGAGCAACACAATTAAGTTTATTATTTCATAGGGAAAAAGTGTTTGTAAAATATAATACACATTATATATATGTATATAAAGGAGAGAGTTTCCTTTCTCTTGCAATAATGCAATTAGAATTATTAATTAGAAAAAAACACACGCGTAAAATATAGATATAAAATTATGCAAATGTTCACTTAACTCCTTAGATTATTTGAGTCATAGACGTAGTATAAAATGTACTTCTCAGAAGAACGTGATGAGTACTCTTAGAGTAGAAATCGTAGTGGAATAATGTCAATATATAGAAGTCTTAAAACAACGTCAAATATGAATGTATTAAATAACCTGCAATCTGCATGGAAAGCAGCAAGAAGCAGCCGCTAGTCTCCGGTGAAGCACCAGAGCTTCCTGTCTCGTATTATCATGGAGATGCATCACGAAGGGCCTCCCAGGACCGCACAGACATCTCATTGATTTTGGGGACGTCTCGCTCGCTATGTACAAAGCTTCTCCGTGAGGCACCCTTACAATGTAACGGTTTTCCGATTCGATTTTAGAAGTTACTGGAAATATTAAATAGAAAAAAAAATTTGCTTCAAATTGTGATTGGAGTTTAATAAAATTTAACATCATCGCTTTCCAACAGGTGAGATCGTGATCAATCGCGGAACCTTTCAAAAGCAAAAAGAAAAATAAAACAATAACTTGAAAAAATATGCGACACTTAGAATTTTGATATTGGTCATTCATAGATTTTTATTAAATTAATTAAAACTCATCTAGTATTGTATTGAATGTATTAGAATTAGCAAAAAAAAATACTCTTGCATATTTTAATCAAACGTAATAAGAAAACTAATTAAGAAAATCTAAATCACAGACATTAGGGAATAAACAATATAATTACTCTATATAAATATACTTTACTTAATATAGTCTCCTACAATTTCGTATAATATAAAATATATTATACGTACGCGATTTTATTGACGACACTTATTTTTAATATAAATAAATTGATAAGTGTGTAGTTTAAATGATCTGACACGTAAATCATGAAGAGATCAAACTCTTATATATGAAATGACAGATCTATACTTACAATCATCCAGTTCAACAGTTTGTTGGATAAGCAAGCTAGAAACTCCGATAAGGAAGTCAAGGCCGTGTACAGGAATGAACTGTCCCCGAGTGTTGCTGGTGCTCCAGTCCAAAGTAGATACCGGCAGTGCTGCACGTGTGTTGCCTAATATTTACATAGATACAAAACTATTATTAACCGGGGGGAAAGGGATTATTAGTAATGTGGAGTAATTAACAAGTCAGGTCGACTTCCACGCGGTTCCCCCTGGAAACCATTGTGATTAATACTTCTTGCATTCGTTACGATGGGCTAACTGACCTGCTTTCAAGCTCATTTATTATCTCTCACTGGTGCCCCGCCAGTGTATACCGATAGCGCAGGCAGGGTTACCATTTCATTATCATCCATTAAAAAAAATCTATTATTAACCAGCTATATCTCGCAGCTTCACCCGGGTGAATCAATATATAAAGTATCCTATGTGCTAAATTAGTATATAACCGACTCATGTTTTAAATTTCATTTAAATCCATTCTGTACTTTTGCGTGAAAGAGTAACAAACATTCATCCCATTCATCCATCTGTCCATCTCTCCATCATTACAAGTTTTCCTATATTATGACATCAATATAATATATTATTAAATAAGAGACAATATGTGGCAAACAGAAATGTTTATATATATATATATATATATATATATATATATATATATATATATATATATATTTGTATTGTTAAGTTATATAGTTGAAATATGGGTACTTACCACTTGCTTGAGGTTGAATATTTATAACTAATTCTGGTTTTAATGTGGAGCCATTGTCTGAAACAAAACGGCCCATGTTTTAGTCAAAGCTTTAACTAAAAAATGGGTTTACAATACAATATGTCACCACTGTTTATCATCATTAGAATGTTGTAACAAGAGCTGACTTGAAGAAAAATAAAACCGGTCAATTGTGAATAGAATTCAAGTTGAGAATTCTGTACTTAAAATTAATGTGTACGCAAATTGTATATAGTATGTTTTGAATACCTCTTTAAAATAAAAAAAAAAAATCTGTTATTTTTTTATGAAACGTATCCCACACACATAATAACTATTAAACATTTTTTACAATAATTATTTATAAGTATTCCTTTAAAATAAAAGCATAAGTAGCTGCTGAAATATATCGCTATAATAAATATAAAAAGTTGCGCGATAAGGTACATTTGTGGCATTTTGGCATGGAACCCTAAAAATGGATGTAGATATCATATTATACAAATCATAAGAATATGATCCGCTGCATGTAAGAATTATAATTGAAATGTAAAAAGTAGGTATATTATATGTAGGTAATAACAACACTGAATACACAATGCTATTACAAATAAGGCAACTTTTTTCCAACTTAGAATGGCAAACATGCTGGCGGCCCACCTAATGGAAAGTGGCAACCGTCCCCCATAGACATGAGCAGTACCATGACATAACAGAGTATACTGTTTCGCCCATGATAACCCCTATGCGTTGCCATTCCTAAAGACTCGGGTGTTATTCCTCTGTACCCTGTAAATTCACTGCCATATCCCATCCTTTAAACCGAAACACAGCCATGCAAACATAACTGCTTCACGGTAGAGACAAGAATGGGAATAAAAGACTTTTGTACAGTCTGTCTTTGGTAAACTGTCATTACGCTATCTTCTAGCAATTGCAAAGGCAAACTTTCTTTTTACAATTCAGGCTTATGAATAATAGCGGACATAACTGTCAATTTATATATTTTTATATACTATATATGTGACAGTGAGTTTGTTTGTTGTTACCACTTGACGTTTCAACGCCTCAATAAATGGTTATGAAATTTGACTTACTTTTTATTGCAGTCAGTTAATATATCCCGGTCACGTGAATGAATTTATGGGCATAGGATAGTATTTATATAACTTAGGATAGCAAATAAGCTGACGGCCCATCCAAAGGAGAGTGATTTCTTACTCATAAATGCATTAAAACTTCATCATATCAGGCAACGGTTACTACTTTCCATCAGGTGGGTCGTCAGCTTGTTTGCCATTCTAAGTTGCATAAAAAAATTAACTGTTGTCCACTGCTGAGGATAGGCTTTCCCCTTGGGCGAGTATTGCCAGTAGTAACCATGCTTGGCAGGCGGTTTATCAACTACGGTGCTGCCTATCCCCTGGCTATTAAGTTCCCTTAGTCACCTCTTACGACACTCTCGGGAAAAGAAGGGGTGGCCCTTTCTATACCGGGGTCATACGAACACAGAATATACTGTGATGTCTATGGTAACTTTATTGTTATTCTTGGGGATTAAAGTGATATTAAAATATCTTCGTAGCGTGTTACTAAATGAAATTGTACTAAGGGTAATTAAGAGTGTAATATCCCATCCTTCAAACCGAATCACAGGCATACAATGTCGTAGAAACGTAATGGGACCTACGCAGAGTACTTTTTTTTATAAAATCTCCCTCTGTTGATATGAACTCTACTAATTGTGGGCCTACAATAATGCAATTATAAGCAAATGATGTCACCGAACGGCTGTAAGTGTACACAGATGATGTCGCATTACCGAAAACACTCAATTCAAATTTATAAGCCGCGCCAATAAAAACGACATTTGTACTTAAATTTGAGGTAAGAATGTAAGATACATATAGGCGGTTGGTTTTTTTTTTTTACTTGAACTAGAAAAGTACTTAAGAATACTCTTTAAAACGCTTAGAAAAAATTTAAAATTCGAAATGAAATATATAAGCCTAAATAAATTACTGACAATTGCATATCAATTTTTTTTCTAAGGATGAGGTTACAGACATGTAAAACTGTTTTTTTATTCATATCAGTGATAAAGAAACGTTAGTAGTTTTGTAAGTACGTAGTTCTTGTTTTTAACACAGTTTACGGTAGTTTGTAATGAACACTCACCTTGTGTAGCTGCCAGATTATCAACACCGAGACTGGATACTCTTTGTCTCGTTGAATTTATATCCATTTCACAATTTATTCTTTCTTAAAGTTAGGTAATTCACAAAGAATATCAATAAAGGATCAATTCCAATCAGTTTATGAATCATATGAATTATATATTTGTACAAAAATAACAGCAATAATGTTCTTTGTTGTCACAAATTGTTGCGATACTGAGTTATCGACGTGTTTGAGTATATTTATCGAGTTATCTATAAAAGATATAATCATTATGAATTTATCTATGTCCAGTCGCCGATAGTCTAAATGTACCTCAATAATTATTATATTAATTATAATACTTAAAGTTTTACGGAAATTTCTAGGAAGTACTTTCATGTACTTTATCAGAGGGAGATTTTGTACAAAAGTTGTTTGCTTGGGTACTCCTGTCCAATTCGTGTTTCTACCGTGAAGTAGTTGTGTTTCCATGGCTGTGTTTCGGTTTGAAGGGTGGGATATAGCAGTAAATTTACAAGGTACAGAGGAATAACACCCGAGTCCTCAGGAATGGCAACGAATGGGACGTACCATGGACGAAATAGTATACTCTGTTATGTCCATGGTACTGCTAATGTTTATAGGCGATAGCTACCATTTTCCATTCTTTGGGGCGTCAGCTTGTTTGCCATTCTATATTACATAAAATAAAATGTTGTTCATTTATAACATAATGGTAAATTGGTATTATAATTACTGTTAATTAAAACCAAATAAATTCACCCAATTATTTAGATCTTAAACTTTTAGTGAAATTTAACATTTTTCTATAAATCATCATTTGTATTGTTATTTCTTTATGAAGCTTAATTTGATATATCAACTATATGAATTATTTTAATTAACTATACGGATACGGAACTAACTATATAGATTTTTATTTTTATACTGGTCATGAAACGTCATCCTCAGTATATATCTTTATAAATATGTATAAAAAATTTCTGGGTACCTATACCTACAAATCGTTATACACAGTGCAATACGCTCAAGATAAACATCACAAGCTATTGAAAGTAGTTGTGTGCTTTCAATAGTTTGTGACGTGTCTATCACAAACTATTACAAACACAGATTACCTATTACAAATTACCTATGTATATATTGTAAATTGACAGTGTGGTTGTATAAATGAGATAATAAAATCCTTTTATTCATAAAACCTAAAATCTGCTACGAACCTATTTTAATTATTACACTGTTTTGTCAATTTCTTTCAAATTACGAATTTACCTTCAAAGAGACAAAACAGTTCAGTAACTTAAACGGATTTATGAGAGGTTTGACGTTTTAACGAATAATGGGATAAGAGTTTATACACGTCATTAACGTTGGGAACTTGAAGTTGGAAGTTTATAAATCCTTTCAACTTTGAATCTCCAAAAACTTCGATATTCCCGATTTATACAAAAGACAGCATTTTATATTTATCTATTCTATTTAAGAGCTGCGCTCTTGTCGGTGGAGCTCTTGCCACTCACTACAATTTTCGGCGAGTCTCTTCACCTCTTGATGCGACACGACACCAACTACTTTCTTGATCTGCCTGATGTAACATTTTATAAAATGTTTAATTTTATATTTCAAGGATATTAATTCTTCTGACAACGGAAATTCAAATAAGTTTGCCAAAATTAGACAAAAATGGTACTCGAATTCACCGGTAAAAGTAATGATTTCAGACAAAGGCATTTTTAAAAAATAGAATATATATCTTAAATATTCACTACAGACTAGTATAGGGTTTTTCAAAAAGAACAATAAATTTTCGTTCTAGTCTGTTATGCGTCAGGGGCGTCCTTCTCTAGAAATCAGTCCAATTCTAGAATATGCGATATACGGATATGCGACCCCGGACTCCCGATCCGATGCAGTGTCCCAGCCCTTTCCGCAACTGTAGTATCCCCCTTTTCCTTTCTCACATAAGTCCCTTATTTCTCTTATTTACCAATTTCCTTTCCGCATTTCCATCGTTCTCTTCCTTTTTTCCTCAATCCTTTTCCCAAAGGGTTGACGTCAGGCAGGCGGCCGGTCGTAAAACTATAAGCTGAATCTTTTTGTAATATGGATAAAAATCATATTACGCCGCCCCCAAGTAATAATCGGGATAAGGATAGGAAGATGATGATGACTTGTCTGTTACCATAATAGTATAAAAATGATATTCCTTTAAAAGGATACTAATGGTTTAAATTAGAGTTGTGTTCTCATGGCTGTTTTTCGGTTTGAAGGATGGGATATGGCAGTGAATTTTCAGTGTACAGAGGAATAACACCTTAGGAATGGCAACGCATGGGAGTATCATGGGCGTAACAGTACACTCTGTTATGTCCATGGTACTGCTCATGTCTATAGGCGACGGTTATCATTTTTCATCAGTTGAACTGTTAGCGTGTTTGCCATTTTAAGTTGTATAAAAAAATTACACTGTTTTACCACTGTCTATCAAATTGAAAATTGAGCGCAAAAGAAAAGAACAAAACAATTCAGTAGCTAAAATCAGTTGGAGAAATTTGAATTTTTTATAAATAAAGCGGTAAATATCAATGAATTTGTAAAAGTACTTCGCTTTACAATATATCAGCCTCGGGGTAGAGTATTATTAGTAATCTAATATCATCATGTACTTACTCTACATAAGAATATTGTAACAACTCAACTTTATTATGTACATTACGTACATGCATTAAATAAATAAATAGATCATTAGTATTAACGTCTCCATTTCCAGCAATACACTCTATGTAAGGTCGATATGCACGCGATGTAAAGCTTTCATCATATCAGTCGTTAACTATGAACGTAAGCCTCTCCCATAAGAAAGTTTTTTCCTGTAGTTGCTACGTTTGACAGGCGGGTTGGCTACCACGGTTAGACCATTAAGTTTCTCTCACGACACCCACGAAAAAGGAAGGTGTGGCCCATTCTATGCCGGGACCACATAACATGAAAGGTTGTAATGTTGTAATAATTGTAAAATTGTTTTAGTGATATTGTTAAACGTAGAAAAGAGAATTATTAATAATCGGTATCTCAACCTTTTGGTTGAAGTTGAGATTATGCGTTCAACATTATGCGCTCTTATTGCTAGCAATAAATCCTGTCAGATCGAACTCCGGACATCCATCTTAGAAACCATCGTGTTGAATTTCAAGCGTATTCATCACGATGGGCTTACTGACCTGCCTTTTCATTCTCACCCATCATCTTTCATTGGTGCCACCGCTAGTGCAGGCGAGGTACATTATTATCCATTAAAAAAAGAAAACTCGATGGTGTATCCTCTGGAAGCAGTCGTAGTGACTTCCTTATGAATTCGTCACGATAACTAAGTAATGTAATTCGATCCTCACCTGAGAATAACTCATTGGTATTAGGGGGTTAGTTGGTTTTTTATACATACGTGTATGTTATATTTTTGCCAATTTGTTAACGACACGATATCAAGAGAATCACCAAGTTGGTGATTCTTCTTGATCTCGTGTTGTTTCTATAATTAATCTTGTCACCATTCTTACATTTTTGGCGTGGTCTTTACAATTAATTAGCAATCATGTGTGATTTTATCATTATTGGATTCAATTTGTAGATCAATATCTTCAAATGTTATAAAGTGCAAAGGTAAATTACTGAGAATTTAGGGAAATGAAACAAAACTAGGAATGGGAAGTAAATATACGCCATATTGAAAACCATTTATACTCATGTGTTAGGTAAGTACATTCTTGAACATTTTACGAATAAAGTGATAACATTCAAGTCGTTTAAAATGAACGGTAATATCCACCGTAGTATATAGGATAAACATTCATTAATGTTCTATCTAAATTTCATCCATATGTATTTTCTAACACTTTTTAAATATTCAAATACAATATGTAAAGTTTCAGGAGTTGTGACAATACAGTCGGTTTCCGGAGTACATTGGACACCATTCGAAGCCAAATTGGACCGGAAGACTTGATGATAGAGTGCTTATTGAATCACTCTTACATATGATAATTTATTAGACTAAGAATTAGCCGTTTGTAAACCGAAATTTTATTATTTTATTGTCCTAGTATAGTCTAAAGTGCCGCTCTAGAGCTAGTACGCGCTTTGCAATGTTCAACTTGAGCTTGATACGTTTATAATGGACCATATGTCTTTCTGAACAGATCTGTCGAAGCAATACAAAAGCATATCATCCCTTACAATATCAACGTACATAGTTAATTTTAGTAATTATTTTATTTTAAAAGAATAAGAAAATATAGACATTAAATATATACTTAATGTAAAATGATTATCGAATTTTAAGGACAATATTTTTGGTTTAATATTTTATACACTTGGTATAAGTTTATTTTATATTATTCCCATATTAAAATTGAAATAACATTTATTACACCAAATGTGAATAGTTCGATCCTTACGCCGATATACTTAAATATATATATGTACTTAACAACGATAAAATACCATCTCATAAGATACACCCATAAACATGTCTTACAATAAATATTAACATCTAGTCCTGTCTCCATTTAAAATATCGAATCGATAAACTACTCGTATCAGAAATATGACTGCAAAAACATATAGCAAAAGTTCATACAACGCTCAATACAATATAATTATAATATTCAAATTACATTTAACAATGAAAGCGTAGCAGTTTCGCGGATAAAACACGCTAATACTTGTAAATATAACTGTTGAGATCAACTTGTGAGAACCTTAAATCTATATATCCCTACGCGTCTATGGCTGGTTAGACACGCACGAATATTACGAAACACAACTTCAACTAGGTACATAAGTTACTAACTATAGGTGAAATGATATTTCTGAAGGTACAGTGACAATTAGTAAAATTACTATTCAAACTTTACATGACAAATAAGTAACTTGGTTACTCATGCAAGAAGTGAGATGTCATCAATGTAAGTAATTAAAATGAAGACCGAATCACATTCGGACCTTAAAAGCTTGAACATTGTCATCTATGACAGCGTGACTCAAACTTCACGTTCGGCATGGTTTCAATGCTTTCTGGACAAATCGATTTTTTTTATAATTCTCAGTTTATCGTTGGAGGGCGCGTTGCCAACCAACGTTTAGCTTCAATGTGGCTGGTAGACAGGGGCTCGCTTCACATTCTCCGTCTAATTCATCAGCTAAGCTGTCATGTAATTCTCGTAATGCCATAAGAGCTGATCGTGCTGCTCTCTGGCAACCCATATCGCCCTCACATGTGGTATCAGCTTCCGATAGAAAGACTAAGTCGCAAGTTGTCGGTGGCGCCTCTCCCTGTTATTAATAGGAGAAAAGTAATTTATTCATATATGCCTTATACAATCACTTTTAATTTATTAATGATCTGCAAGTCCTACAGGTATTTTTAGTTTTAGTAATATAATTTCCAATTATTAATTATGGCTCAGGAGAATTATTATAATTTTTTCACTATTATGCTTATTTAATATTTTTTTATGCAACTTAGAATGGCAAACAAGCTGACGGCTCATCTGATGGAAAGTGGTAATCGTCGCCTATAGACATGAGCAGTACCATCGACATAACAGAGTATACTGCTTCGCCTATGATACCCCCCATGCGTTGTCATTCCTGAGAACTCAGGTGTTATTCCTCTGTGCCCTGTAAATTCACTGCCATATCCCAGCCTTCAAATCGAAACACAGCCATGCAAACACAATTTCTTCACGGTAGAAACACGAATGGTACAGAGGTGCCTAAGTAAATGACTTTTTTACAAAGTCTTCTTCTGGTAATACACGTAGAAGAAGAATAATATATACTCGTATAAAACTACTACGTATATATTATTATATTAAATATATAATAATATATTCGTAGAAGAGTAATATATACTCTTCTTATATGTTCTTTTTTAATTGTATTTCTATTTAATACATAAATTTAAAATTTACATACTATATACAAACACAATATATAAAACTTACGCATAGGTAACAAATTTGATGTAAGCTACACAAAGGTAGAAATAGCTGTCCGCGATCACCAGCCAGTAAATCCACTCCACGGCAGCGTTGTATTATCTTTGCAAGAACAGGACAAGAGCCAGCAGCACCCACTGAAATAAATATTCATCAATCATCCTTTGTATATTTTGCGCTAATACACCTTTACTCTATATTTACATTAATGAATATTTACATATTTTTATTTTTAAATATAGCGTTATTTTACCTGTAGAAATTGCAGGAGTTCGATGTCTGCCACTACCACCCATGTATCCTTCAGAAAATTGTTCTTCCATTTTACCATTTAAATAATGACCAGCCCCTTGTTCACTTTCAAAATCATCATTTGAGTCCTCTCCTTTATTAAATGATGGTATTTCGTTACTTTTAATATCCACTTTTTCCTTTTTCACAGCTACCCTTTTCGATTTTATCTCATCGACAGGAACTGGAGAAGATGCCAAAACACTTTCCGGCTTTTGAGTTTGCAAGCTTTGTTTAAATTCTTTTAGGGCTTTTCTCATTTTTTCCAAACTATAAGCAGCTGCAAGGCGTGATAATAGTTTTTCTTTCATTTCTTGTTCTTCCTTTGAGTCAAGTTCTTCACCCACATTCGAATAATGTAACGCTTCGTCAACAATAAGACCTTCCATTGTCTTTAATTTTCTATCAATATTATCTAATTTTGCATCACTATCAGAAACTGTATTCCTTTTGTTATCGTCACGAACTGCAATAGCTTGTGAATTATCTATTTGAAGGTCAGCTTCCTCATTTGGATTTGATTGCACGTAATTTCTTTTAACGTTATTATGTTTTCTAAAAGTATTTGTAGGATAAATAACTTCTTTGTTAAAGGTATCAAAGTATTGTTTTCTCAATCTATCTTGAGTTAAGCCATTGACAAAAGGTACTGAATTCTTATTACGTTTATCTATTCCAAAGTAGTCTGACCAGTCGATAGATTTCTTTTTAATATTTATTGGTTTTTCTTTCTCATCCTGATTATGGTGATCCGAGTTTTCTTCTTCTTTGCCCGTCATCCCAGGATGATGTATATTATGCCCATGATGTTCATGACTATTATCATCATGTTCGGTAATATTGTGATGCTCATGGGTAGAGTTTCCATTTGGTGAAGTTAGTATTGGTGGTTTAACATCATGTGAACTTTGCTCGTGTTCACTACTACGTTTAACGGGATTTTTTATAACATCCGATTCAGACTCCCCAAATATTCTTGATAAATCTTTTATAATTCTTGGATCAGTGCCAGAACTACTTCTGAATGTTTTTTTCTTATTTGGAACAAATCTTTTTTTGGGTACTTTATAACTATCAGAACCACTACTACGTTTTGTTACAGGAAATCGTTTTTCAATTGAATCGTAAGAATACTGATCCTCATCAGCCAAATCAGATAGAGTATCATCATCCAACGGTTGGAATGCTATTGCATATTCTTCTCTTAGATCATCTTTATCATCATCCGTTAACTCATAACTATTGTAATTAGGATCTGTCGAAATATCAGCATGATTTCTATCAATATTAAAATCAGGTGAAATTGGGCGATTAACATCAGAGTCTGAACTTCGCTTTCTCTTGAATGCTATCGGTCCCCAATTTTCTGGATATCGTTTCTTCACAATTTTTTCTTTATACAACTTAACTACTCCTTGTGGAGCAGACTCAGCATTGTTGGAATGTTCTTTATTGTATTTATATTTTGACCAAAGTTGCCCTAATAATAATGCATATTCGGCATCATTTTCGGATTTTTCTTGTGCCTCTTTTTTTTCTTCAATTTCATTTTTATCCATAAACAAATCTCGAAGTCTTTCGTTATCTGAATGATGACTTCTCTCGCGGAAAGCGGATTCCTTCTTAATACTCTCTGGATGCAAGTTTTTCTTTTTGATTAATTTGTATTCATAAGTTTCAGGAGGTCTGTCATTATCGTCTAAAAGTTTGATAATATATTTCGGATTAGATTCATCTTCAATATCCTCAACATCTACGCCGTAGTCTGAATCTGAAATATAAACAGAACTGAAACTTTAACTTGTCCTATCATAATTATAGCTAATATTTAAAACGGGTATATTAATTTACCAGTATATTAGTAAACCAAATTATAAAATCTCAAAAAAATAATATAAGTAACTGCAAACAAATATATTTCAAATTACCTGGATATCCTTGAGGCGGTACGAATTCATAGATAGGAGTATCGTAATCAGGTAAAGGTGCAAGAGGTCCGTGCATGCGACCTCGTTGCCGTCGCTGCAAAGCTTCAAGTGCGCCCCGCAGAGAAGAACCTCCACGGTCGGCACTTACGCACACCACAGCCCATGCGGCTATTGTCCATAGCCACCTCCCGCTCATGACTTCGGTCACTATAAAGAGACAGAAAAAAACACATTTTAAAATGCATGCAACTTTGTTTGAATGGTTAAGAAATTAGAAACTTGCCAACCGATAATATTAGTTATAGAACTTAACTGAAAATGCGTTCGGCTTGGAAAGCTGGTAGGTGTGGATTCGAAATAAACTCTTGGGACGTAAAATTTTTCTACTTATTATCTAGTAAAATTATAATTATATACATATCAGTAAAAAAATAGGTTGTTATGATTGATAAAATTACTATAAGTTTTTACTCATTATCTGTAATTCAGTTTCTATCTTTATAGTTTCTATTTTGTAGATATATTTTAGAAATAATAAAAAATATCCTATATCTATTTACTGATCTATATCCAGTGTTAGCCGTAGTTAGTGACCAGGGTTAATCGGAGCCACACGGCTATTCCTTCCTTTCCCATGGGTGTTGTAATAGTCGACTAAGAGAGGGCGAATGATGGGCAGCAGCATCCCTCTTAAAACATCTCTAAAGCATAATCCGCATGCGAAGCATGGCAACTACTGGCAAAAATTCTCCAGAGGTTTATGTTCAGCAGTAGACAGTTAAAGGCTGGTATAAAGATAATGATATGATGATCCAGGGTTACTATAAGAAACTTCCATCTTTGAACTAAATTTTATTCAATTGTACATCAGTTAAATTGTTACTTACACCTTTACAACCTTCCACACTCAGTTTATAAATTTACACATAATGGTACTTATATAGTCGTAGTTTAAGATTTAGTTTAATAAAAAGACACTGAGTTCAATCGTGTCAAAATTAGTTTGATTTAAAAACTAAACTGCTGAGCCGATTTTGATAAAAATTCTATGTAACTAATCTGAAAGTATATTCTTTTAGATATAAAAACATTTTTCCAAATCCTTTTATGAACGACGCAGTTATGAGGTAACAAACAAAAAATATAACCGAAATTGAAACCTCCATTTTGAAGTCGATTGAAAATGTATATATATTAAAGTAAAAGTATTATATATTATTCTTGCTTTCGTCTATAATATAGTATATTTTATATTAGTGTAAGTATTTGTTATTTATATATATTTATTCGTTCATATACATATGTAATTTTAGTACGTGTGTATATCGATAATTACTAGTACCGCATTCGAGTATACTGACACTTTCCCTATGGTTGACTGGGAGAGACTGCTTTTAATATTAAGTCCGCCATGTATACATATATGTAATAACGAATAAATAAATATATAACCAAGGCAACCATAATATTAAATGTAAGTATACGTACATGTAATTAAAGCATCGACTCAATTATGATTAAACATTAATAAGGCTAATATTTTATAATTAATTTTGCTTAAATGATTCTGTTTATATTTGTTTACGCTTTAATTTAAAACGCAAAACAACAAGCAATAAGGAAAATCCATAGAATTATCACGCCATATTTCCCTCACCCTTCTCCGTGTCGCGTCAGACTCGGTATCAAACTGCGTTTCCTGCGGGACAGAATCCACCCCGACAGAATAAACGATTTATCCTAACACGAGGACACTTTAAATGGATAGTCGACGAGACGGCTATAACTTAATAAAACACAGTTTCTTACATTTATGTTATGGGTCGCAACATGCAAAGGGTTTACTCACTGGAAATATATTTGAGGGAAGGAAATAAAAAATATGACTAATATTTTTTTATGCAATTTGAAACGGTAAATAATATGACGGCCAGCCAAGTGGTAGACTATAGACATGAACACCACTGTGGAATTTTTTTTATTGTTAGGCAGGCAAACGAGTAGACGCTCCACTTGATGGAAAGCGGCTATCGTCGCCCATGAACATCATACAAGAGGAGTTGCTTGTGTGTTGCCAGCCTTTAGACACCATATCACAAAATACATTATGATATTCATAGTAGCTCATGTGCTTCCATTTCTGAGAACTGTGATGTTATGATTACCCGTGTCTTGTAATCTCTTTGTCAAAAAGAATTAACGTAACGGAAGTTAAGCTTAATAAAATCTTTTTTTTTTTTTGTTTATTTTCAATTTATGTCATTTTGGAAATAATGTTTAGTTTTCCAAATAAAACACTGCCTTAAAATAATTTCGATTTCATTTTGACAACATACAAAAGAGGCATTATATAAATTATTTGGTACTCAAGTTAGATCATAATGTTTGTTTCCAAAATTAAGTTTTCCATTTATTGATTTATATTTCTCACCTCAAATTTGTCGCAAAGACTCCACCCCTCTCCGTCGCTATAAACAATAGCGGGACGTATTAATTTTCTCGTCTTTTGTCTATTAAACACCCCTGAGTAATAAAGTCGTGAATCTGAATTAAGCACTTTCTGAGGTGGCATAATTTACTTGATACTTATTTACTTACTGTAATAAATAAATGGGTGTACATTTACTTCACTCTCTAACGGTAATTTAGAATGTTCTTATACTTTATATATAAGGATTCCTTTAATATGTAACCATAAAGTAGAAACTTTAAGGTTACATATTAAAGAAATCCTTAATTACATTAAGATATATAAATACTAGTTTTTACCCGTGACTCCGTTCACGTGGCTAGAAAAAAGCCTACGACCTTCTCCAACCCAAATACTAACTCCCTAATTTCATTCTCGCCTGTCATCCTTTACTGGTGCCCTGCCAGCGTATACCATTATAACAACAAATTAATAACAGAGTTAGCAAAGGTGAAGTTATCTCTAAAAAAGATTTCATTCCAGTCAACCTAACACAGTGGCATAGGAAGTAGTGAATGGGCAGTAGTAGTGCTAAAATAAATATTTACATAAACATTATATATACATTTATATATTGTATATATATATGTTAAATACAATATATACATATTAAATAAAAGAGAACACAATGATAACAGTCTTCTAATCAATAATAGTTATAAAGTATTCAAGCGAAATTGAAAGGATATAATGATTTATAAGTGGTTTAACGTTTTTATGAATAAGGGGGTATGCGTATATGAAATTTTAAAACGTTTTATTGAGCCGTTAAAACGCTAATATGTAATAAACGAACAAACTCACTTTCACATTTTTATAATATTAATAAGGATAATAATTATAATATTAGATTAGATTAGATACAATATAATTAAATGATAATCAAGTACCTATGTGTAAAACCTTTACTTATAAGTGTATATTACTCACTAACTTTTGTCCGCGACTTCGTACGCGTGGTATTCCAGAATGGAATTAAGTTTTAAAAGCTAAAAATAGAGCGTACGCAAAATTTTAGGTTCGAATAGACTCGTCAAACGTTATTAAAACAGTATGAACTATTTTTATACTAATAAAAAGGAAACGAAATTAAATAGAAATTAGTTTTGTTTTTCTCTTGCAACTAGCAAATATAACCTATTAGTTACCTAAATATAAAAAATTGTAAAAATGTTTGCATGTTACTCAAACACGTTTAAGAGCTAAGAGAATTTGAATGAAATTTGGTGCACGGTTAGTTTATAACTAACACGTAATTAATTTAACACATCATCATCATTTCAGCTGTTAACTATCCAATGCTGAACATAAGACGTCCACATAAGAGGAGTTTTATCAGTAGTTGCCAGGATTGGTAGGAGTGTTGGCGATCGCAGTTAGGCTTTTAGAGGTGTTTTGGGCTGCTGCCCATCACTCTATCATTAAGTTCCTTTAGTCGCCTACGCCCATAGGAAAGTAAGGGGTGGCCTAATCTATACCGAAAGCACATAGACATTACTTAACACATAGAATACTCTATATACAGGTTGTCTGTAAGAGATTGCTTTTAGCGATAAGGCCGCCTTTTGTATATGCACATTCTGTATAAATACTCCTTGTATACATCTCTACTGTGCACAATAAAGAGTTTATTATTATTATTATACAGAGGTGACCAACCGATTGATCGCGACTATTAGTCCAGTTGATCGTGGCAAGGCAAAAAAATATGTATAATATTTTGCTAATCTAGCAAAAGATGCTCAGACGCAATGCTCATACTAATATAAATAAGTACTTACTAAGAATAAGTTTCGGTTTTATGTTTTTCCACTTAATAAAATAAAAACTACTACAATACTACATAATTGTGTACTGAACTAAGTATGTTGTTTCATTTGAGATTTCAAGAACTATGTACATAATTGGTAAATCGCATAGGGTTTCGTCAGTAAACAGTAGTGCGTCTAGTCAGTCGGCCATCCCTGGTATAAACTGATTCACGCGACCAAAGTCGTTAAACAGCTAGTATAGAAGAATGAACGTAGAATAAATCTTATTGCGCAAAATGTATGTTTTCTCTAAGTACCTACAAAGACAACAGAGTTTTATGTTACTATATTATTGGTCGTCACAGAAATAGGTGCTACATAAAAGCGTTATGAAGGTATCCATTATACTTTATCAAACGTAATAGACACTTTTATATGGACATAATATAATATAACATGTTGTCGTGTCAATTTACACATGTTAACGTACTAAAAAAAAGTTATGTCAGGTTCGCCCACGCGTTACAGCCGCTCACGATTAAGGGTCCTGAATAGTCCCGAAACTAGTCCAGCTTTCTCGACCTAATTAAAAGGTTATTATTACATTAAAATATAAAAAAAAATAGTGTCACATAATGACACCAATTATAATAATACGGAAGTAAATTTCAAGAAGAATTGTAGTTAATGAATGTAAAGTGCTAAACTACAGAAACAGGTTTTTGCTCCCCGAAACTTATTACTTTAAGTGCGACAAATTTAACTAAAAAATACGAATCGATTACAACAATATGTAATTAACAAAGTTCATTCAAAATTGGAAAAGATCGCGTAACATAAGCACAGAAATAAAGATGAATCCATAATTCCTTCTTTTTCGAACTTGCTTTTGAAACAATATATCTTTGTAACATCTATGCTTTAATTAAATCCTCAATTCTCTTTTAAAAATTTAGATGCTGTACTTTTTGACCTCCGGCCTTTTG